TTTTTTATCTCAATCTTCGCAAAATGCCGTCCTTTCATAGGTCTCTTCAATTTTGGGAACAGGAAAAAATCGCAGGGGCCAAATCTAGTGAATTCGATGGCTGAGGCATGGTTTTTTGGCCAAAAAACTACGAACAAGCAAGACGAGTGAGCAGGTACATTATAATGATGCAAGAGTCATAACAATTTTCTTCACTTTCTAAACATTTTCATCGGTTGTTGATGTGTTGGGTCGTCCAGGACGAGTATTCGTCATCCACATTTTTTTGGCATTCTGTGAAAAGCGTGTATAACTTGTTAACATTTTTCTGACCCAAATTACAATCATTTCAAGTGTTTTTGAGCGCTCAATTCCGTTTTTTACATAAAATCTTAACTTCATGTTAATTCTTTAATAAATTATTTTCGACTTCAGTAAATCGCCGAACATGCAAAACACTTCTTACTTTTATGCGTCTCACCAGCAAACTAAACAGCTGAATCGAGTAAGATATTTTTAGTCCCTGTTCAATATAGATCATCTGAATCCCTAGTCTCTATATTAGTATTTTTTTGATGAAGAATTAAAACCCTCATAGGATTATACAATTATTATTGGATAAAACAATACAAATAATTTCTAATGTGTAATATATGTATTTAATTAAACATTTTTTTCAGATATACATTTTAGAAATTTTTGATTTGGTAAATCTCTGTAGGGGTTTATCGTGATAGATTTGTTTGTTTTTTTCTATGATTCAAATATCGATAACACTTATCACTTTACATCATAATCATTCTTCCTCACCTCATATATTATATCATCGGTACGAAAGACGCTATAAAGTTAACACCACAGCTAATATTTCTTTTGATCTGAAAACTCTAAATATTGACATTTTTTGAACGAGTTTTTCAAAGTTTTGCCGACACGAATACTTGGCATCATCAGGAAAGCAATGAAGAACACTGAATTCGACAGTACAAAGGAGAACGAAGGCAAAGTAGTCCTGAATAGGAAAGCACAACTCAATCTCGAGTCAGTGGATATGACCACCATCTCCTGTTATGATAGATACATCTTAAGTGATATATTTGAATTCAGGTGTCGATTCCCATTATGATTGAAACAAAATTCATATGAACTGATGCCATAACTTGTTTCTTTTGCAAAACACAAAGTCCAAGGTATTTTCAATTAAATCAGAGGCATCGGTTTTGATGCAATTATCATTTTATCAAAATTCAATTTCTTCGTAGAATTTTGTTTCAAGCAAGCATAATTTGTTCTTATTAAAAAAATTTAGAAACAAAAAGTTAAATTTTTAATTGAATAATGATGAAATAAAGTTTATTTTTAAATTTCTTCAAAAAATTTCAAAATAGTAACCTTCAAGTAAGTTAAGGCAAAAGTTTATGAGGGAATTGCCTCCTAAATTAAAATAATCGTTTATGTTAACCTCTGATATACACATTATGGCAAGATCACAATATATATTTAGGAGTAATCATATTCATTCTGAGAAATGTACAAGCCTAAAAAACGTGTAATAACGAAACCGGGTTTTTCACATAATTCAGTAGCGACAAATTCTAATACATTTCTTAGATTTATGACTGGTTCATACACCAAATACTTCATCTTTTACTATAGAAAAATTGTCACTATATAAATCGATGGGAGCGTTTATACAACATAGGTTAGGTTAGGTCAAGAGTGAGTTGGTCTGCTGCCGTTTCATTACTTTCCAAACAAAAGCGACACACACTGTCTTACGACAGCCCGAGTCCGATGATTCAGACAACAGTGACCTGTGAGGAGGCCCTACCGTAGTCCAACAACTGTTTGGTATCAAGCTTCAAAGGGTGAATAAACGCATTGGAGTGAGCCAATCCTGAAAGATTCTGCCAGATGTCCATAAATATTTTTGCCATCCAAGTGGTCAATCTTTGTTTGGCAAAGTCTTCCTATCAAGGAGAGTCGTTTTTGGCAATTTGCTACCAATTTAGGCGTTGCTCGGTAGGAGCCAAGAGCTTCCAACGCCGCTTGACTGTCCGAGAATATTTTTATTGACTTGTGTATGAGGTTGGATTCTTCCAATCTCTCTGCACACAATTCAAGAGTAAATTTCAGCTCGAAATACAGTCGCATAGGTTCCTAAACAGGTTGATATCTCTGTCCTGGGTCTGCGACTGAAAACACCTGCACCAGAACCAGAAAGTGTTTTTGATCCATCTGTGAACCAATAACAGGTTCTGGTCCGATGAAGCTGCTTGCAACATCCTCCTTTACAAGGGAGTCAGCAGCCTCATTCCCTTCCAGGCCATACACCATACTTTTACTTTAGAGTGTGGTGTATACGAACGCTCTCATTGATTTACGTTGTGATAACTTTCTTAAAATAAAAGATCCTGCAGACCATCGGTAATTAACCTGGAAACATAAGATCATCTGAAAGTTTGGTGTATGAAATAGGTATTAGATGATGCCTGGTTGCTTCTAACCACTGTAAGTAGCAATTGGGTCACACCCAGTGAAACTAAGTTTAAAAATTTTTGAAATATTATAAAGTAGAAATATGCATCGTGCCAAGAATTGGGATGAATCATTTTCAATATAATTTCAAATACTCTCATTAATTAATTATCTTGTGTTGTGACTCAGACTTGACGACTTCAACAATCTAATGTCAAGCCTCAATTTGGATGCTACTTTTCAAAAACTACCTATAAGTTCATACTCCAGCTATAAGTTATAGGGAAAATCATCAATACCGATTATAACAATAATATACATTCAACTTGACTATTAGGAAATGTTAGAGATTTGAACCTTAGTTGGATTTTCATTGTCTAAAATTAACAGATTTGAAATCTGAAAGTAACTACTGAATTATAGGTCACAAATGTTTCTAAAAGATGAAACTAATGAAGAGAATATTAAAAAAAATACTATCAAACATTTGCTAAATAATGTGTACCAATATAGAAGTCATATCCTGGTCTGATCCTTGTACACGGCATTTTAGCAACATACCTATGTTAATTAATCAATAAGATACTCATTTTAAACATGAACCTCAAACTGTTGTTTGTTATCTATATCCAAAATAACAGTTACCTCTCCTGAAGACAGCGACTTCAGTTACCTGTAGTTTGTTTTTTTCTATATGATGAAGGTAACTTGATTATTTTGGTCCGCTGATCTCAAATGTAGAGTCAAAACTTGGCCCTAAAGTCTACTTCCGGAGATACAGCTACTCAAAAATTGAAACTGTCAAAATAATTACTATTTAATTCCGAGACACTTTTGGTAATGAAAAATCACCTTTATTTAATGATTTCAATTGTTTTCTCAGAATGCAAAATCTCAAAAAAGTAACCCTAAGTTTCGAATCATGTTCTAAATATTTCACTAGTTTTTGTTATTACTGGTTGACAATATCAGAAAAGGTCAAAGCTGAGGAATGAAGTTTCCAAATTTCGAAAATTTTACTCAGGTTTGTTCTACATATTCTACATGAAATAAATTGTGAACGGCACATTTTAATGAAAAAAAGGTGAATCACGAGGAAAAAGTTAGGCAAGGCGATACAATATGTAANGAAAATTTTACTCAGGTTTGTTCTACATATTCTACATGAAATAAATTGTGAACGGCACATTTTAATGAAAAAAAGGTGAATCACGAGGAAAAAGTTAGGCAAGGCGATACAATATGTAAAAGGTGCCCAGCATGTGATTGTGAAAAAAGGTAGCATGTTACAAGACTCACTTACTGGAAATGAGTATTCCTTTATTCTTGAGTGGTAAATATCTTAAAAGTAGACTGAAGTGCCAAGTTTTAATCTCAGATTTGTGACTGATGGATAAAAATGCAAAAGTCTAACTATATATTTTTCATACAGTGCCATTAAAACAAATATTTAGCAAAAGGACTATACATACACACTAGTGAAGTATTACACAAAACCCATTTCTTAACTCGTACTTAATCTTCAAGTTTATAAGTAGAGTCACAAGTTTGAGAACCACTGCAAATAACCCTTAATGAATTATCACCGCTGGGGTTACTGTCACAATTATTTGTGGAGTCTCTACTATTAGAATCGCTAGAAACATTAGTGTCTTTCATATTTTCACTAGTATTGACAAAAACTCCACCTTGGAAAAATACATCGACAAGCTTTTTAAGTTTTTTGGTATGTACTTTGGAATGAATATGAAGTTGTTGTTTCAGTTTGAATCCTTTCCTGCAAACTTCACATTCAAAAGGTCTTTCGTCACTATGAACTTTAGAATGGAATTGTAATTGTTGTTTGAGTTTGAAAGCTTTGCCACAAAACTCACATTCAAAGGGCCTCAAATCATTATGGACCAGGTAGTGAATTTGCAATTGTTGTTTGAATTTAAAGGCCTTCTCACAATACAAGCATGGAAAAGGTCTTACATCAGAATGAGTTTTTGAATGGTTGTCCAACTGTTGCTTCAATTTGAATCCCTTATGGCAAATTTCACAGATAAAGGGTTTTATGTCTTCATGGACTTTAGAATGAATTTGAAGTTGTTGTTTCAGCTTGAACGACTTCGCACATATAACACAATCGAATGGTTTTAAATCTTGGTGGACAAAAGAGTGTGTATGTAGTTGCTGTTTTGTCTTGAAACCTTTGGCACAAATTTCACAAATGAACTGTTTAATTTCATCATTGGTTTTAGTTTTAGTTTTCTTGGGTCGACCTCTAACTTTCTTGTGGGTTTCAAGATGTGATTGGAATTCTGTAAAATTTCCACTGAACCAATTACATTCCAGGCATTTGAACTCTTCATTCGTATGCACTGTGATATGAGAAGCAACGTGACTTTCAACTTTTTTCTTACTTTTGAAGTTTCTCTTGCATATTGGACATTTGTATTTGAGAATTTTGTTTTCGGTTTTAATGAAGGAAGCTTCAAATACACCTCCTGATGGTGATGGGGTGCTCAGTTCAATTTCCAAAAACGAATTAAGTGGTTCGAGTTCTTGGAATTCTTGAATTTCTGTTTCGGTGCTTTCTATTTCCTGTTTCACATATACTTCTTCGATGTTTTCCGTGTCCATTTTGGCTTTTAACCCCGATAATTACTGATATTAAAGTAAACATAACTATTATGACTTACTAATGTCAAATGTTAATGTCAAGTTAACCACACCACAATCAAAACGTGGTTGCCAAATCATCAAAAAAATAGAACGTGTTCCAAAACTCATCAGAAATCTTCACTAATAGGGGTTTTACAAAAACCGCTACACGTGAGAAAGCTATTGTATAGCGAAACACGTGTCGCGGTTTTTGTTAAACCCTTTATAATGAAAATCATACAATGAACTGTATTGATGATTTTTAATAGGGATTTTCATCAAGTATCACTATGCTTTCGATATAGTTGAACCAATACTTTGGAAAGGCGCCTTGCAAAACTGTATTATATTTTTTTTGAAACTCGTTGACAGATCTTATGATTCGTTTTTGGTCAAGACAAACTTTTGAGCTTGCTCCTCTACGCATGATTTCTATATATTTACGTGTTGGATATAGAATTGATTGAATACGTTAAAAAGAAAAATTTGTAGCAGGTGGAGTAAAACAAGAATGAGATACTGTAAACAAACAAAGCAAATATTGAAACTTAATATCGAATTGTCTGAAAATATAAAATGCAAATGGCATTTATACATGTATGAAACATATACATTTTATAATAGTAAAAAATTACTGTCATGTAATTCGAGTATATCTCGAGTATATCTCCGAATATATCTAAAAATATTTGTTCGACGAGTAGAGACAGCAGACTATTAAATATTTTTTTCAATACAGAATTCGGTATAACTAAATATTTATAAGACGATGACATTTGAGTTTCAGACTGTTTTATTTACAAGGAAAAAACCATACGTTGTGTTATTATGAGTTGTATTACCTCTAGGATGTGTGTTGGGAAATGATATGAATTGACTAGACTATATTTTCCGAAATGTTATTTTAGAAGTTTTGTAATTGTCAAATAATTTTATACGATTGTTAGTTTTTTGAAAATCATACATTTGAATAGTTTATTTTGTATCAGTTCGTATATTTCAACAACCTTCGAGTCACTCAAGAAACCTTGATATCTGTTTAAATCTGTTTAAAATCTGTTTTTCCGTTAACCAGCTGTCGCACCCCTACGAACGACAACCCTCAGAAGTCGAAACTTGTGTGAGCTAAGGATTAACGAGGTCTTACCTTTTAACGTGTGATTCCTAACACGGTATATATCAATACACCGGGTAGGTGTACTTGTGTGTTAAATTTTTTTTTACAATTTTTGTAAATTTTCAGTGAACTCAAATAATAAAAATCGAGAGATCTGTCAATATATTTAGTTATTTGAAATACTTTCTGCGAGAATCCAATCCGGCGGCGATTCTTACGGTAGGTACGTTTTTGAAGTGTCAAAATCCGGTGAGCATGTGTAGCATTAATCCATAACATATTTTGCAAGCATGATATGTATCTATGGAATAGTGAGAAATATGCGATCAAAAAACATCTGAAAATATCTATTAATTTAGTGCCTCTTCTAAGTACTGTTCATAGTAAAAGTATTTTTTTAACTTCAAGTTTGACTTTTAATGAATTTATTAGGTATCAACCATTCATTGGGCAAAAGTGACAAATTATTGTTAGTCAAATATAGGACATTTGGGTAGGAGTGACAGCAAATAACGAAACATGTATAAGTTGAATTTGGGCTGTTTTTGGATAGTTTCTCCTTTTGAAAGCGATAGAAGCTCTTTCGAGGTGTTTAAAGGTCACGAATGTTCTCATTAATGAAGTTTGCGTTTCAGAGGATTAAACTCTTACAATATCATGAAATCAATTTAAAAATATGGGAAAGGTTAATAGGCTCGGTCAAGAAAATTTTGGGGGTTACTTTGAAGGAAGAATCTGCAAAGGATGAAATTTCATTAACATTGTTCGCGGAAGCTGAGTATGCAGTTAATAGTAGACCATTATCTCATGTTTCAGCCGATCCTCAGTGTTTAACGCCAAATCATCTTCTGATTGGTTCGCCCTCAGAAAATCCATTTCCAACAAAATTTGAAGAACAAAACGTAAGAAAGCAGTGGAAGAAGTCCCAAAGGCTGACAGAGATATTTTGGTCAAGATGGATCAAGGAATATTTACCGACTTTATCGAAGCGTGCAAAATGGATCAAGGATGATGAACTTATTGCGGTTGGCGATGTAGTCGTTATTGCAGATGGTCACCTTCCGAGAAATACTTGGCCACTGGGTAGGATTACGGCAGTATTTCCAGGAAAGGACAATGTTAACCAAAATCTGTAGGATGGATGTTGAATTGGGTGGAAATTCTTAAAAAATTTCACGGTGGGGAGAATGTTACAGATTATTTTTTATTAGATTATTTGTTTATTTGTTGCTTTCAAATTTATGTAATTCATGTATCATTCAGTTAGCTGTGAATGAGATATGTTGAAAGAAACAAGTTGTTGTTGATTGTCAAAAAAGGTCAATAGACGTCAAAAAGTAAAATTTGGTATTTTCTTGAAGAATAAAGTATCTGAAGAAATCACATCAATCATAAAATCAATAACACATTTTATGAAATATAACAAAATTGAATTGTATAATGAGTAGGGTGGTCGTTTTTTCTGTCTCCCACCCTCGGCTTACACTTTAGTAGACTTTCGTTTTTTTTATCATGTTGTTCCTCTCCTAACTCCTGCGTTTTACACAAAAGAAGAGTACAACTAGCAAAGAAACCGATAAGTAAAAAATTGTTATATATCTGCACACACGATAAATTTTGCAAATCAACAGCTGAAAACAAGTAACGCTTCATGTAGGGTACGGTATTGTTTCGAATAAGTCAAACTGTAACCCCCTGACGAAGTTCCTATTACCTAATAGGAGGAGCAAATAGAGCAAATGCGCCTGACTAAGGAAGCAACGACCATACAAATGAAAGACGAAAAATATATACCATACTAGTTTAAATTGAGCGCTTTTCCTCCAATGAGATCACAAATGTGTCGGCCAAAATCTTTGATATTTTGTAAACCTTATATACACTAACCCTGAAACATCCTATTTTACCTAACTGATATGACAACGTAGCTATGAGATCGGATTGACTTCGTGTGTTGTCGTTAATCTGTTATTCTCGCATCGTTTGGTTTTTTTGCAGACAGCGCTGCCACGTAGTGATGGATCAATAAGCGAAAATAAGTCTGTGGTGCCGCAAATTACATGTATTTAACGCCAAATTTTTGGAAAAAATTGTGATATTAAGTATTCTCATTAGTATTGTGTGATATAAACACTAAACCTCTATCTGTGAACGCAAAAGTGCATCAGACATGGACTTGCGTGATTGTGAAATGCTCGATGCCTCCCTATTTTAGCACAAGTTTCGCTGGTTCTCCTAGCGTCCATATTTGTGTGTAAGTTTAATTTTAGTATAAATTTAGTACTTAAATTATTCCATAGCGAACAGTTAGATATCACCTTAGGTTGAATCTATAAATAGTCTATTATGTCCTAAATTTGATATTGCAGTTGTCATTGATTATCACTTGTGCCCTATATGACCGTGATTGTCAAGACCAAGACGTAGGTGTGATATTGAAATACGATACGGGAAAATGAATTTTCATTTGACGCTGGTTGTTGAAATTTGTTTATTGGTAATATCATTTACGCTTCAATGTGTTAAATACACATTACTTTTCAGATATTGAAATAAAGATATATAGATAAATGTTTTTTGTTACATGTTCAAGGATTCGAGATTTGAGCAAGCTCGGCAGTTATGGACTCGTATCAGACTTTAATATCAGAGTTGAATTCCTTATTTTCTCAACATATTTTGTTTTTGATTTCATTAATTCCAAATGATTCCCAATACAGTGTACACTCCCAGTAAAAGAAAACTAGATAATTAGGAATGCTTATGTTGTCAGCTTCGACCTTTTTGATAGTATATCTAATATCTGTCTCATATTTTTATTCACACATCGTGATAGGATCAAAATTGTCAATATAAATGTAGTAATTTGCAATTATTTTGCCAAATAATAATTATTGTATGTATTTAATATATTTTATTGTGATACTTTCACTAATTCATTAATTTTTAGTAAACATTTCAGATTATATCAATACATTTATTATGGTTTTTCATCAAATATTGGAAAATTCCATCACATATGATGATGGATATGATTTTTTTTTTCATAAAGTTAGTTTATTCCTAATGTCTATATACTAAAAGCAGAATAAATTCCACAAAGAAATTAAAAATTTCATAACTCTCTGCTGGAGTAAGTTACATGTTTATATAACTATTGACTAACTAATTGTTCTATGTTAACTTGAGATCTTGTTAACTCATATTTAAAAGGTGAATGTTATTCTGTTTCTGTCTGTTTAAAAATCTGTTTTTCCGTTAACCAGCTGTCGCACCCCTACGAACGACAACCCTCAGAAGTCGAAACTTGTGCGAGCTAAGGATTAACGAGGTCTTACCTTTTAACGTGTGATTCCGATCACGGAACAACATTCGGAAACACATGTTCATATTAAGGTACAGATAATTTACTTCATACCTCTATATTGTTCCTGCTGGACTATTATCTAAATGAATTTATAAAAATTCTGTAAGTTGTGTCGCTAGAGTATTTTATTTTAATTATTTCTCTTCTCGAATAATTAGCAAATGATTGGTGAGAATCTAAGATTTATTCAGAGTTTCCAAAAAATTGATGTCAAATTAGCGTCAAGTATTTCTATAATACAAAAGAAGAAGTATTAAGAAGTATTTTCCTCTGGAAACAATTAGCGAATAATTCTAGTAAACTAAAGGTTCAGTTAAAAGTAAAGCAAGCTTGACATCAAGTTAACGGGACATCTTGTATTCAAAAATTAATAAATATTTTTTCTTCCCCACTAATTAGCAAATAATTACAGTTAACTGATAGTGTACCCAGAGGTCTGGAAAACTCAAAACTCAATAATAAACAGTTGTATCGCAAACTTTACATCAAATTAGCAAAACCAGTGGATTTGAAAATGATCAAATAACAACAAAATACCGGCAAACTTTGTTTTGCAATTTCAAAATTGTGTAACAGNTGTGTGTGTGTGTTGTGTGGGCGGTTTGTGTGTGTGTGTTGTATGGGCGGTTTGTGTGTGTGTTGTGTTGGTGGTGTGTGTTGTATTGGTGGTTTGTGTGTGTGGTGTGGGTTGAGTTGGCGGTTTGTGTGTGTGGTGTGGGTTGAGTTGGCGGTGTGTGTTGTGTTGGCGGTGTGTGTTGTGTTGGCGGTGTGTGTTGTGTTGACTCTGTGTGTTGTGGTGGCGGTGTGTTTTGTTGGTGGTGTGCGTGTGGGCGGTGTGTGGTGTGTTTCTTCTATGATGTGGTTGTTGTATGGTGTGTTTGTTGTGTGGTGTGTTTGTTGTGTGGTGTATTTGGTGGGTGGTGTGTGTGGTGTGTTTGTTGTGTGGTGTATTTGTTGGGTGGTGTGTGTGGTGTGTTTGTTGGGTGGTGTATGTGGTGTGTTTGTTGTGTGATGGGCGTGTGTGTGTATGTGGCGTGTGTGTTGTGTAAATTTTGTGATGTGTGTGTTTTGTAATGTGTGTACGAAATCCCTCATCAAACATTACTGTGAAAAATTTAGACACAGAGGACGAGAATTAAATACGACAGAAATGTTAGGTTACTAATGGTAGAGCAGCGGTAAAGTTGGCTTTTTCATGTTGAAATTGGTCAACGAAAAGAAAAGCGTTGGGGGAGTCATCTTCACCTGTCAATAAGAGCCCTTCATCTGGAAATTGTTCACACTCTCAACAATGACAATGAAAATAAAATGTTGATGATGCAGAAGAACTCAAAAATGCTCCCCAACAAATATATCTAATCAGTATAATGAATTTTTGTTAAATGTAATTTTAAATTTATCTAAAAACACGAAAACAGTTCAGTGTAGTTGCAGTGTAACTAATAAATCATTCTATGTTTGTAAAATTTGTTACGGAAAAAGAAATAGGAAAAAAAATAACACATTTTGGTGAAGGAAATATAACAACATGCTTGATAAAACAATGTTTAAAATCAGTATTCTATTCTGTTATATCAAGATGGCCGAAAATGAGGGTCATGATTCAAGTCAGTCCGTTGGGAAAGAAAGGTTCTGGCTTTCTACTTCTCCATCTTCATACAAAAAAATGTGGGAATATGTGCAAATATACCCCTTTCAATTTAAACAAGAAAAATAACTTATTCAAATGCTGTAAAAATTAATCTAATCTTGGATATTATATAATGAACGAAAAACAAAAAGTTCATTAGAGGACACATAATTATCTGTGGTGTCTGAACTGACCATTCAAAACATATTAGAAAATGAAGAAATAACCACGTATAAAGAAGTAATTGTAACGCTAAACTTCAAGAAGATCACATGAAGAAAGTAAAACATGACTTTGAATAATTTTATGAGGAGTCATTGAAAATGAAAGCTGATTTGAACCAATCGATAATGAACCAAAAAATAGACAATGAAGATCTACAAAAACAAATAAAAACATTGACGTCCGTAAAAAGACAGGTGATAACAGAAAAAGTGGCTAATGAATCCTTCACTCAGATGGAACAAATACTAAATTTTAAACACACTCGGGATAATTCTAGACATACAGGGGATATAACATACAGGGGATATAACATACAGGGTATATAATTTCCGAATTCAACAGGTAAGTCAAAAGGGGAATGCAGACGGCATAATGAAAGGCTAAAAAATGAAACCTGTTCAAATAGTCAGGCGGAAATGCAATGAAGTAAAAAAAAATTAAAAATCCAAACACTTTGATTTTACAGTAGAGAAACTGAACGGCTCTACAGAAAAAAAAGCNCTAAAAAATGAAACCTCTTCAAATAGTCAGGCAATGAAGTAAAAAAAAAGAAATCCAAACACTTTGATTTTACAGTAGAGAAACTGAACGGCTCTACAGAAAAAAAAGCGATTATGTAGTTAGTTTCTAAGAGAAATTTAAGTGATGAAATAGGTGATTGGTTAGGGAAAATTGAATTAGAGGGTACTGAAATTCCAAAATCGAAAAGGGCTGAAAATGAAATTGAAAAATAATTGGACTTATTCATGTTTATCAATGCCAGTTTTGAGAAAAAAATGGTTGACCTTATCTCTGAGAATGAAAAGCTAAAAAAAATATTGAGTATCTACAACAGCAATCAGTTAAAAATGTGTCATTATTGAAAAGCGGAAATAGTGTTAAACAAAATACTTAAAGTTGCCCGAAATAGAAGGAAGAAGTGCAAAGGTCGTTGCAGTATTCGCATCTACAGTGCATTTCTTTAATGCCCCCCCTTTTATTTTTTGAACGGGTCAACTCATAAAATTGAAATTTGGGTTGATGAAATTGATGCATGAATACTTTATTTTGAAGTGAAGTTGACAGATTAAACTTTCAAGATGGCGACTGGGCGCCATTTGGGGAAAAAAATGAATGGAAATGGGGGTCTGACGAATACTTCACAACCCTAGAATATGAAGTCAATATCTTCAATTACTACAAAATGGCGGAACATTTGATAATTTCCTGAAGACAAACACATTAATATTTCTAGAAATATTCCTTTTTATCTGCCATATGATAATTCCAACAACCCGATATGGTTTGTTGAGTTATTTTTTGGTAATGAAAACATTAAAAAATGTCAGTACGACAATGAACATCATTGTTCAGTTGGAAAATTCTTATTTAGTTTTCAGTTTTACTGATAGAAAGGTACCACGTCAACAATTTCTAAAATGGTCAATTTTCGTCCATTGGAAGAAAAAATGGAAGCGATTTTTATTTACGGTGCGACCGTAACTTTCACGAGACCGAAAGGATTTTCAATGAACGTTTTCCGAATCGTCATGAGAATATTTGAGGGAACTTGTATCCAAATTCACAGCTACCGGTAGTGTACATAACAAAAAGCCCCCAGGTCATCCGTCCATTCCGGAAAAACAGCAAGTGCAAATAATTGGTGAGATGGTAGTAAATCCTGAACAGTCTACTTATTCCGTCGCGAATGTTTGTGAGGTGTCTCCTTCAATCATAGAATAAACTCTATTGATTAGTTTTTTAAATATGGATTTTCATCTAGTATCGGCCAGTTCTATTCAATTATGAATTGTTACACTTAATGTTTCAATTAAAAAAATATATAAAGAACACCACAACCGGTAACGTATCTATGGGTCTACATTCTGGAAATATATAAGTATTATTGTTTTTTGCACTGGAATAATTGTTGAACAAATTGAAAAAAAATTCAAACCAAGTTATTTTGCGACGTTTCGTCTTCGGGTGATGACTGGACAATTCCTCCAAGAGATGACTCTGCTTCACCGGTTTAGCGGGTTTAGCGGCTTTCCGCTTGATTACAGGTTTCCATATGTTGCGAATATCTACACTAGCTTGGCTGAATGCGTCGTTGGACAACACATGTGCAGTTTCTTTGAACTTTCTCTTAAACCAGTGTTTCTCCCTGTGGATGGTCTCAGATTAGGACCACTTGATGTTGTGTTGATAAGTCCAAACATGCTCTGCTATTCCTGATTTGCTGGTTTCTCCTCGCTGTGTTTGTTTCTTATGCTCGGCAATGCGAACTTTCAATGGCCTCGTAGTTTCACCGATATAGGATTTGCCGCCCTCACGGGGTTCAGGTAAATGCAATTCTTGGATTCGCAGTCTGCGTTTGGTGGCCTGGTTTTCGTGAAGGTGCTACGGATAGTGTTACCGGATCTGAAGCAGGTTCTGATGTTGTACTTGAACCCAATTCTTCTTATCCTTTCTGACAATCCTCTTATGTAGGGAAGGACAAGCAACGGTTGTGGCGGTTTCTCTTCCTTGTGAAGCTCTTGCTGTCTTCTAGCCAAAGTTTGTTCCACCATCACTTTAGGAGTAACCATTCCTTCAAAAATCTTTTTGATGATGCCTAGTTCTTTCTAGAGCCCAAAAGCACGATCCACTAGTTTTGGTAGATTGATGGTGGTTGGATTTGTGACTCAGATACTGTCCCGTGTGAGTGGGTTTTTGGTATATAGATGTTTCCCACTTAGTGTCGGTCCTCTTCACCAATATGTCTAAGAATGGCAACTCGTTGTGGATTTCCTTCTCCATTGTGAAGGTGATTGAAGGATTATGCTGTTGATGTGTTTCAGAAAGGTGTCTAGTTCTGTATTTACATAGTTCGATACTATGAAGATGTCATCAATGTATCTCAACCAGACTCGGGGCTTCTTCTTGAATGGCCAGAGTTTCATTGTAATTCGTTAAATTTCACGTTTTATTGCTCAAAATATTTGATATTCATTTAATTTCTATTTGTTCTTTCATAGAATCTTATTAAACAATGAAAGTCTGAACTAGTAAAATTGAAGAGTGACAATAAGAAAAAAATGGCGAATATCGGTTCTTTTCGAATATCTCGTTCTAAATTTTAAAAAACTCTAGAAAAGAAATATAGTTTTTTCAAGATTTTTTTTTTATATAATCAAAGTGGCTGCTTAATAATAAATGATTATCCAACATAAATCCCAGATATTTTAATTCCTGTGTGCAAATGCATGACTTCAATTTGTTATTGAAAATGGAATCGTGTTCTTGTTGGAAAGTCGTAGGTGTCTCTGTGTGTACAAATACATGTCTATATTTAACGGGTGATTTTTTAAGAGCTTGAGAACTTTAAAAAAAAAAAAACGCATAAAATTTGCAAAATCTTATCGGTTCTTTATTTGAAACGTTAGATTGGTCCATGACATTTACTTTTTGAAGATAATTTCATTTAAATGTTGACCGCGGCTGCGTCTTAGGTGGTCCATTCGGAAAGTCCAATTTTGGGCAACTTTTTCGAGCATTTCGGCCGGAATAGCCCGAATTTCTTCGGAAATGTTGTCTTCCAAAGCTGGAATAGTTGCTGGCTTATTTCTGTAGACTTTAGACTTGACGTAGCCCCACAAAAAATAGTCTAAAGGCGTCAAATCGCATGATCTTGGTGGCCAACTTACCGGTCCATTTCTTGAGATGAATTGTTCTCCGAAGTTTTCCCTCAAAATGGCCATAGAATCGCGAGCTGTGTGGCATGTAGCGCCATCTTGTTGAAACCACATGTCAACCAAGTTCAGTTCTTCCATTTTTGGCAACAAAAAGTTTGTTAGCATCGAACGATAGCGATCGCCATTCACCGTAACGTTGCGTCCAACAGCATCTTTGAAAAAATACGGTCCAATGATTCCACCAGCGTACAAACCACACCAAACAGTGCATTTTTCGGGATGCATGGGCAGTTCTTGAACGGCTTCTGGTTGCTCTTCACTCCAAATGCGGCAATTTTGCTTATTTACGTAGCCATTCAACCAGAAATGAGCCTCATCGCTGAACAAAATTTGTCGATAAAAAAGCGGATTTTCTGCCAACTTTTCTAGGGCCCATTCACTGAAAATTCGACGTTGTGGCAGNCTTGGCTGTGCAGTAGTTTATGCAAAAAGGTTATTTAACCGACGTTATATCTTTCACAGTTACCATATTCCCATGCTGGTCCTATTTATCTTGGGCAGACGGTATATACCAACTCCTCCAGTGTATCTATCATTATTAAAATTTTGTATAAAACTGTAATGTCTTAATGATACTTTATCTTCAATGAATTTGTTTCAGGTTTCTAGCTGGCCAGACTGACATGGAGCACTAATGAAGATGCGCGCCCCTACCCCCTCCGAGCCGAAATCTACATTTCCTACCTACCAAGTGCCTCAAAAGTCAGCCATGAGGGGCAGCGCACCCCCAGTACAAGTTGATTGGACAGCTTGGGGGGATCGAGCCGATCCCCCAAGTAATACCCATTGCGTCTCAAGTGACGCCTTTTCTGTGATATCCGGCTCAAGTTGTCGTTCACTAGGCAACTCTAATATTAGAATGCAATCTGTGACCGAAAATTGTCTTCTGAACTCTGTTACCGAACCAAAAATACAACGTATAGACCATGACATGGTCGCCCACAATAATAGATTTAAGTTAGTTAATAAGTTTGGTGCTTTACTCCCTGGACGAGACATTCCCAATCAAAAGTCTGATGACCTCGAACTATCTGACGACCTCAATGTACTGAAATCTGTTAATTGCGATATGATAAACAACGATAAAAAAGACCGTAGAGTGTGCCACCTCAGTAAGGATGAATCTGATTTGTGCACAAAGAATGACACTGCTTTGCCTTTAAGGTTAAGAGGGGGAGGTGAAAGTTCATTGAGTACCGGTACCTCTGGCTGGGGTACTCCTCCTTCCCAACAAGCCAACAACAATGGTAAGTCCACGGAATTTTGCTTTATAATAGTTATAGTTGGTTAAAGATTTTCTTGATCATATTTTACACATATAGGCAAACATTTTTCATCTGTCATACCTGTACCTCTTTTCAGCGAATGGTTCTGAACATACGATTACCAAATAAAGGTGTAAACATTTTTTTTTTCACAAGTTTGACAAAGTTCATGTGAAAAAGGATGCTTTGTAGGTTCCGAAACCATCTTCAAGTCGAAAACTTGTTTTCGGCGAGCACCACATATACGTTTATATTATAATAATAATAATAAATATGCTTTATTGTCAATATAAATGCAATATCAACAAATAACATACCTACACATTTATATATAAACATATATACAAACATAAAAATAGAAACATAATTTTTTCAATGCCAAAATAATGTATGAAAACACAAATTTATGTATAAAATATGATTAAAAGGTATCGTCATAAAATTCTTGCAAACTATAATAGGGCCTCTTGATAAGAAAATCCTTTGTTGATTTTCGAAATTCAGTACAGTTTACTACGCATTTCAGGTAGTTAGGAAGGTGATTATACATCTTGAGACCATTATACACTATAGAATTTTTAATTNGCAAAGTTTTAATGAAATAAATAAAAAATGTGTATGAATATTTTAACTAATTGTACTAAGAATTTTTCTTTCATTCTTAACCCTCTCAAAAATTAATAAGCACGTCCCCGATTTGCTGTCAGCTGGGCTTACTTCTACTCTCAATCATTATTGGTTTTAGTATAAACAAACTGTTTCTAAAATGAATAGAGCATACACTAATAATATTTTGTTTGCTATAAACAAAGGCCTACAAGGCCTGGCTCTTCCGAGAAATCTTAATGATGAAGAGAGAAATGAAAGTTTCTGTTTTTTACCACTTATTTGTTTCGTCCTATACGGACATTTTCAAACTTACACAATAAACAATAAACTTGTACTAAAACCAATCCGAAATTGTGTGAAAGCGTTTTCCCTATTTTTTTTTGCTGAAGTTTGTAGGTTTTTATGCCTGACATTATAAAAAGCGATGAGGCAAAAGATGAAATATTTGGTTGTCCTCAAAGCAGATACTACAAAATTGGTTTGGATATTAGAATTCATTTCATTATTGATGAGCGTGGCTTCGTTCCTGATACAAGAGCAATTAAGTGCAGGTAGCCAGATTTTATTAATATTTGAAGGTGGTTGACAATGTTTCGTGGTGTATTTCATCAATTCGGACTTCCATTGTCATTGATTTGAAATCTCTGAACGAATCTGTAAAAAAAATTAAAAAGNGCCCAGAATGCGAGTGTTGGAGTTACTTGTAGCGATTTTATATGATAACCAACAACTAGCAGTAGCACGAACGGCTTCTGAATTGGAAATGTCCTTATTTTCGGTTCTTCTGATTATTATAAATAAAAGGGGAAAACGTCAACAGAAACCAAACATGTTCATTGTTTCTTATTTATTGAATTATTATACTTTCAGCTCCATTGGATAACTAACTGAAAAAACAGGTTCGGTAGTGTATTGACGAGCTGCGATTTCTTGAAGAACATATTGTATACATGATAAAAATAAGTGATCGATATGCTTCTGAGGCATAATTCAAACCAACCTCAATAGAAAATTTGTATCTGGTAACTTTATCACACTTCAACTGTTCTTATAGGAAATAAATCAAATGGACAACAGCCCCCTACTTCGCAATCCAACAACTCTGGTTGGGGCCAACCTGGTTCCAAACCAAGTAACAATACTATGCCTACTACTAGTCAACCTCCAGCATCCTCTTCTGTTTCTCAGAACAGTGTGCCAATCAGTACCACCAAGCAGCAATTGGAACAACTCAACAGTATGAGGGAGGCCATATTTAGTCAAGACGGGTGGGGTGGGGTAAGTAAATTCGGTTTTACGCCATATTTGTTACTTATCTCTCTCTCTCTCTTGTGTGTGTGTTCGTTCTGCCCGTTTGTATGTGTATGTGTCTATCTATATTTTATTTAGTTGAAAAACTAATTCATTTACAATGGTGAATACATTGTCACATTATAAATAAAATAAAATCAATATGAAAAAATACAAACATTCTGATTAAAAATACATATGTATAAATGATAAGTTACAATAGTAAGTCATACATAGGAATATAATATATTTTCATTAAGAAATCCTTCAATCGTCTTTTGCATATATTTATCGAACCACTATCTTTAATTTCTTGTGGGAGGTCATTAAAACAATCTACTCCTTTATAAAATAAAGAATTGTGTGTACTATTTTTTTTTATTGCTTCTGTTTCTAATATTATGCCCCTGTATTTCAGCTACATAAGTTGATTTATTCTGTAGATATACAGGTGAATATCCAATTTTGATTTTGAAAATGAAAATTGGTGTTTGGTACTCGAAGAGTTTCTTCACTGGTAGCCATTGAAGGGTTTGCAACATATTTGCTATTGGTGTTATCCTCGAACATTGTAAGATTATTTGCATAGCTGGATTCTGCATCTTTTGTAGTCTGTTTATTTCATTTGGATTGAGAAAAAACAGAATGGTTGAACAATAATTCAAATGTGGAAGGATTATGGAGTTGTAGACTAATAATTTAGACCACTGGCTCATATATGGGGAACATCCTAAATAGTTGATTTTGTAAGCTATTGTTTTGATAACTTGATTAGCATGTTCCTTGAATTTCAAGTTGCTGTCAATAGTTACACCCAAGTACACGAATTTGTTTACCTTTCCTATATTACTGTCATTCAATCGTAGAAGTAGGTTTTCATTATTATGATCTCTATGTTTCCCTAATAAAATCCATTTTGTTTTATTTACGTTCACCTACAGCAGACTTGCAGAGCAATATCTATACACCCTTTCAAGACTAGCGTTTATAGTATCAACACACTCATGTACATCTTCACTACTAAAGTACAGTAGGGTATCGTCGACAAATAAGTGAATTCTACATTCTTCTGCTATGGTTACAATGTCATTCAAATATATGAGGAATAACAATGGTCCCAAAATAGACCTTTGGGGTATACCTATATTATTTTGCATTTTATCCGAATAAACTTCCTCTATTTTTAACCTTTGCTGTCTATTGTTCAAATAATTCACGATCCAGTTTAGTGCTATTCCATCAATACCTAAGCTTTCTAATCAGTCTGCATCTATCTACAGTTTCAAATGCCCTTTGAAGGTCAAGAAATACTGCAATAGTATACTGATCCCTTTCCGCACCTTCCAATCTGTTAAAACACATTGTAACGCAGTTTCACAACTATTTTTGATCTGAAAACCCGATTAATACTCACAAAGGACCCTATTACATTTCAAATAATCTACTATCTGTTCATATACAGCCCTTTCCAATACTTTAGCTGTAGCATTAATCATGTTTATTGGTCTCAATTGAATAGCTTGGTTTGTATTTGGTCCTTTTGGTATAGGTATAATAGTAGATAATTTTAGTTCAGTTGGTACTTCACCATTTTCTAAAGAACTGTTGATAATGTGTGGATAACCTTAAATAATAAAAATTTTCAAACAAAGCCACAAGTAACCTTCATATTCTTGTCATTAAAAATCACTGAAAATGTGTTTCAGGGATCACCCTGTATATTTTGTAAAGCTTTCATTTTAAATGGACAAACCGTATATAAGATCTTCAATTATATTTAATGTCAGAATGATTGGTTTATTAGGAATGATGTAAATTTATTTTAAATTATTTCTACAGCAACATGTCAACCAGGATACTAATTGGGATGTTCCAAGTAGCCCCGAACCTCCTTTGAAAATGGATGGTACTAGTGGTCCTCCACCATGGAAACCAGCAGTAAACAATGGAACTGAGCTCTGGGAAGCTAATCTACGAAATGGTGGCCAACCTCCACCACAGCCACAGCAAAAAACCCCATGGGGTCATACCCCTTCTACAAATATTGGTGGAACTTGGGGTGAAGATGACGATGCTGATAGCTCTAATGTGTGGACCGGGGTACCGTCCAGTCAACCACAGTGGGGTACTGGTGGAAATACCAATAATGGTGCGCTATGGGGAGGTGAGTTGAATCCAGTCTTTATGAATCAATTAAGGGTTTTGCGGTTATGGTACATTATATTATCCTTGGTATTGTTGACTGTTTAAAATTTGACTGTCTTTTTCTAAGTTTGTCCGAAATGAGTGGTTAAGCGGTTGGCCTCTACAGAAACCGATTTTTCTTCTAGTTGTGATTATTCTGTATCCTGCCAATAGGCGCATATTATCTTCCGGCTAGTTGATTCAATCGAACCATGAATTAAGTATACTTTGTTTGAATATAATTACATCTCATAGACAGAGTTTTATACTCATAAATAGTTAATTAGTAGTAAGTATGCTGACGAAAACCTTTCAAAAACCTGCAACTGAATTGAACAATAAAAATAGAAATAGAAATGAAGATATAGAATACAGAGAACTTGAATGGACAGAAGGTAATTTAGTATGGATTAAAAAATATAAATACAAACATATTAAACTACATAATATGAGGTAATAAGCTTGAGGTCAGTTCAGAAGATGCTCGAAATGGTTGCCTTGTCTTTGAAATCGTAGTATAATAAATCTTTCAACTGGATTTTTTCATTATTAGGTCCCAAGAAAGAAAACGACTGGAATGCTGGTACAAATAATACTGGATGGGGAGATCCTAGATCTGCAGATCCACGTCAAACAGGATTAGATCCCAGAGAAATTCGTCCAGAATTGAGAGAGATGCGCCCAGGAAATTCAGATGCCATGCGCTTGCTGGATCCAAGAGATCAGATGAGACAAATGGCTGGTAATGATATGAGAGGAGATCCAAGAGGTAATAGTTTAACTGTGAATAATAAACTTTCACTTTATTTGGGTGTGGGTGGGTGCCTGCTTGTGAGTTGGTGACTGTGTGTATGTTTTGGTGACTGTGTGTGTGTGTTTTGGTGACTGCGTGTGTGTGTGTGTGTTTTGGTGACTGCGTGTGTGTGTTTTGGTGACTGTATGGGGGTTGGTGGCTGTGTGTGGGTTGGTGACTTTGTGTGTGGGTAGGTGCCTGTGGAAGTGGGTACTTGGGTGTGTGTATATAAAAATTCTATGACTTGGTATAATGAATTTTGAATAGACATTTTGGTAAGAATTGAATGTCAGATTTTTTTTTTCAAAATGTATCGTTAATAAATTACGTTTTTCCTAAATGATTCATCTTTAAAAAAGGCATTACTGGAAGGCTGAATGGAGCTGGAACTGAAGCTTTCTGGGGTCAAAGTACGTCCCATGCAGGTTCCCAACAAATGCATCATCATAACAAAATGCCTGTTGCTCCAGGAAATACTGCAGGTTGGGATGAACCTTCACCACCTTCACAAAGACGAAATATGCCAAACTATGATGATGGTACTTCACTTTGGGGTAATCCCCAACAAGGTATCCACTCATATTATACGTTCTATTGAAGACCCTTTTTTACAAATTGTTTGAAACATACTCATTAAATTGGACACAGATACTAAAAACTATTACAATTTTCCATGTTGCAAAAAATCATTATAGAGTTCCTCAGGAATCCATCCTTAGCCCTATTCTTTTTGTACTCTATGTTAACGATCTAAGGATGCTCAATGTATCAGAAACATTCACTATTTTTGTTGATGATATTTTAATGCACAGCACTAATGAAATAACTACAAAGGATGGTTAAAAGAACACAAAAATTGTATGATTTAAATCTTTTTTTTCAGATGTCACACTGAAAATATTTAATTTCAAATTCAAGTCTGTCATAATAGTAACTGCTCATATTGCAGGCACATTCGAACTCACTCACATAATTTATTTACATGTATCAGGGTCTCACTGGAAAGATTTGCCAACAGGAGGAAATATGGGTCGAGGCAATAATACCGCAGGTCCCCCAGGCATGGCACAGACACGTATGAAGCCAGATGGTTCTGTTTGGGGTCATGGGCGCAATGGATCTTGGGACGAACCTGGCCAAACGCCAACATGGGAAGAACCAGGCTCCTGGGCTAAACAGAAGATTCCGGGTCCATTATGGGATGAACCTGAGTGGGGACATAAGCAGGCCAATAAACCTCCATTGACTAAAGAGATGATATGGAATTCAAAGCAGTTCCGAATGCTTGTTGACATGGGTTATAAGGTACTTATTTTTTTCTCATTATACAGTATTCAATGTTGTCTCACACCACTGTCCTTTCAAATATGCTCATTTGACACTTGTCAAGTCGCATGTTTTTAGATTAAGTATTAAGTTTCTATCGTGGTATTGGAGCAAGAAGTGAAAATTTGTGGTATTTCATGCCATTAGTGTGCCTGATCGGATGAATACAATAGTAATTCATTTTGTATAACTGACATTTTCTCCACGATATTGTGATATCAATGAAACATGTGTTTGGGTGTGTGTGTTATGGATCACCAATTATAAAGGAGGGGGGACCATCAATTCAACTCTACTTTTTTACAAGCACAGGTTAATATTTCTTTGATTGACGACTTGTTTATTTTGTGGAAATTCATGTTCACTAAGGATATACTATAAAAACACACTTCAAAGATTTGAAAATGGTGTAATGACCGAAACTAATCAACAAATATAAAACTATTGTGGAAAATAGACAAAAGTGGGTTTTTACAGTGCATCCTCAGTGAACAGATTAAAATCTTTCATCATTTCAGATAATCCAACAATAAATCATTTTTACTCTTGACTCTTCAACAACTATTGTACTGAATGAATCCTTTAAAAAATAAACTTTACACTATGAGGTACTCTGCCTGTTTACATATAAATGATTCTGGCCTCTAGTATTGTATGTGTGGATGTGTTTTACAGTTATAATAAACTTACCCATGTAAGTTGGAGTCAGCTCATGAGTCATTTTATAGATATAGATCATAGTTAAGTACGTCAGTCTTCGCTCCACAGTAAATAACTGTAAAGTTTTCAGCATCAATGATATAGGAGTTGACCTACTACATCGCAATACTATTCTCATTGCTCGATTTTGTAGCTTTTGTAATTGGGATATTTTATTCAGATCAAAGCAGTATAGTAATGTAGGGCAATATTCAAAATGAGGTTGAATGATAGTCTNAAAGCGCGAAACACATTTCGAACCGAACACTGATTTTGGTAATAAAATTCAATGATTTGCAAGCGTTGCTCGTTAGTAAGTCTATTCATGATGAAATGTCAAAGCATACTGAGCATCTTTCTCTTTGCACCATGTCTGAAATCCCGCGTGATCTGTCAAATACTAATGCATGAAAATCCTAACCTCAAAAAAATCACCCGTTATATGGAATAATTCCTTGTAATTGACAGCCAAAAAAAGTGTGTGTATTTCAAATTTTAGAAACTATGGTTATACCAGCTAGTACTCTACTTCTGGCTTTCTGAGAATGAGGAACAGCGAGCTTGAAATACGTATCAGTGATGTGCATTTTTCTGAGTGTGTGTCTGATGAATATTTCTCTTGGATTTACATCGAGACAGATAACCTTCCTATGTGCAAAAACTATTTATGATCATTCAAGGAAAGTGGTCATTTAATTCAAATCTTTTCTCGTTTTATTCACTGGTTTTCCTCAATATACTTTTATTTTGTAATTATTAAAAAATGGGTTGATATTTGACATCAGTAAAAAAAAATATTGTTATGGGATTGACTGATTAATTGTTCTTTTCCAGAAAGAAGATGTAGAAAATGCTCTTCGAATACGAGATATGAATATTGAAGAGGCACTGGAACTTCTCAGTCCGTTACGAAATAGAGATGGATGGGGAATGCGACATGATGATCACTATGACCATTCACCATTTAATTGCCAAAGATTTCCTCCAGGTCCTAGTGCTCAATTGCCCGGTTTTCCACAAGGTGGAAACACTCCCAATCTTCTCAATAATATGAACAATTCTGGAGCAAATAACTCTCTAATAAACAATATGCCACCTGCCTTCGTTCAAAAAATGCTTAATCAAGGAAGTGGGTCACAAGGTTTTGGAGGATCTTCTGCCAACGCTGGAAGAAATCTACATCCACAAACACAGCCTTCCACTCAGCAACTCAGAATGCTGGTTCAGCAAATTCAAATGGCCGTTCAAGCGGGATACTTAAATCATCAGGTTGGTAATCACATCTCATATTTATTGCGAGTTCATGAACGTAATTCTAAACTTTTCATTGCCATTGTTGTATGTTCCACAGTACTAATCAATCACCATATCTGATTCTCCAGTCCTAATCGCAACTTCAACTATCCCCTATTCGACAAACTGCTCATGTCATTGTATCAGAAGTAATCATTTTTAGAGCAGAACGTTTCCAATTCAAAAACACCTCATCTGAGAAACAATCGGAGGCAATGTGATTATTTGAAATCAACTATATCAACAATATAGAACATTACTTGACTCTCCTGAATACCAATATTTTCTTGTGCACCACAAATATGTTCTTTCCAAATATATACAAACTACATATCCCTCATCTTCAATTAATGAATGAATGAATACGTTTATTTTAGGAAATCCTAATATACATACAATAATAATAATAAATCAGTAAACAATAATAATATGTCCTTAACCAACAATAATAATAACTAATAACTAGAGTCATACATATGACTGTAACCTAACAATGTTGAGAAATAAAATAGAAAAGGAAATAAAATTCAAAGTTAACTAACTTAGATAAGACTATACTAACAATTTAAAACATACTGATACATGACTACTGATGTTCTGCATCATTGAGTCTTTTCCAACAAAATTGTGTTTGTTTTAATATAGTTGTTTAGTTTAGATTTAAATATATAAATACTTTCGCTTTGTTTTATGTCTCTTGGCAGCTTATTAAAACGGTTTAAACCTTTATAAAACAATATTTTCATTGAGCTGGTTAATCTGCATCTTGGCAAGTGAAAAAGATAACTATGTCTTGTCTCGTAGTTGTGAGTACTATCACGATAAATAATGAATTCATCAAAATAACCAAATTTTGCGTTAATAGGAGATGAGAGAACATTACCCACTTTAGTGATTTGTCTTCGATCGCTTAAGTAGTCCTCAAACCATCCTAGCACTGTTCCTTTAAGACCTATAGCTTCCAATTTTTTCATTAATATATTACGGTCAATTGTCTCAAAAGCTCTTCTTAAGTCTAAGAATACTGTTACAACATTAATAGTGCCTTTGGAACTCTCAAATGCCTTGCTGAATACCTAATACTATCCAACTTCAAACAATACATCTCTGAAATACTGAAATCCTTCAACATTCAAAGAACAAACATCCTTTTTAGATTTTCATTCATATTCACTATTTACCAGAAAGCAGCCTATATCAGGTGTATATAATTTACTTTTGATGTGTGTAATGTCGTGAAATTTATTTCAGATCCTCAATCAACCATTGGCACCTCAAACGTTGGTGCTTTTGAATCAACTGTTGCAACAAATCAAGACATTGCAACAGCTCAATACTCAACAGACAATTGCCACAACACACTCAATCAACGGGAAACCAAACAGCGCCTACATGCAGTGTTCAGTACTGATAACTAAAACCAAACAACAAATAGCAAACTTGCAGGTAAATATTTGAGGTGTTTCAATTTTCAATGTTGACATTTATTATTTGGAAATAAGACTAATCATACCAATCTGTAATATTCCTATTAAGGTTAACATAACTTAGGTAATGTTAACTATGTCCTGCAGATAGCTCAAAAGACAAAAACAGAATTTCGAAGTACCTCCTACAAATTATTTGAATTATTCATTGATTGTTTATGAACAATCAGTTTCTTTAGTAGTACTGTCGAACTGTAGTTTGACTATACCAAAGAAAATTATCAGCATTTTAGAGAATCTTTCGTGTCAGTCCTTTGATGATAAATTACCAAAAAAAAAAACATTGTCTAAGATGGTTTCAAAAATGTAAAAACTTGATCGCCCTGACTTTGGGTAGAAGTTTGCAAGTATCGAATACTAGGGTACTAAATTTATATGGTCTGCCAAAAATTCATAAATCAGACAAGTCAGTGTGACCAGCTGTATCAGCAGCTCTAGGTACATGGGAAGAATACTAGCTCCGTCTGTTGCTAACTTTAAAAAATGACGGAATTACGTTCTCTTGTCCATAGGCTGGTCACATTCCCTTTGAACAAAAAAAGATATGATCCATACTTGCTTTTCTGTGAAGGGATAAAATATTAAGGATGTCACGTTTCATATGTACATCAATTTTACTACAAGGATAACATTGAACAATATTTATTTTGAATCTTTGAATACTAACATTACTTTTCTTGATTTCATTTTTTTTCAGAATCAAATTGCTGCTCAACAAGCCACTTATGTCAAACAACAGCAACACCAAAGTAGTTTGGGTGTCTACGAATCCTTTAAAGCCAATACAATGCATGATTCCATAAATTCATTACAAGGTAACTTTGCTGATCTCGGAATCAAAGATCCCCAGATGGTGAGTTTTCTATCTTGGATATTGCTTTCTATATAAAAACTGTCTCTATTTTAAGCACAGTTTGTGCAAGCTAACTTGAACTTTGACCTTGCCAGGCTCAGTAGTGGTGGTTCATTCTTAATTGAAAAAATATTTCCAAGGCTATCTGTTGTGGCTACCACAGGGTGTTCTTTGGTGACTTAGTTTTGAGAGCTTTCGAACTTTCAGTTGTTTAACAACTTTGTTATTGATGAATATATTGTTTATGAAATTTCAAGGCACCCTCAATCCAATAGAGTGATATTTTCCAATGAATCGCTAATTGAAAATCTCCATTTTCAATTTCGGAAATGAATCGTAGTATGAAATTTTCAAATTTTGCTCTTTAGTAGACCTTTCATTATGTCACCCTATTTTTTCCAAATTTTTTTGGCTTTTTTTCGTGTATTTTTTGTACTACCTTGATTTCTAGTTGTTTTTTATGGAGTTTTTTATGTCTGCACTATCACATCAAATTTCAAGAACTGTAATATTTATTTTCAGATATCCAAAAATATACGTCAGTATATGTTTGATTTATGTTTCAGAGTCAGCAGCAGTCTCGACTTACTCAGTGGATTAATAAAGACAAAGAAGAAGGAAATGAATTCAGTAGAGCACCTGGGTCATCTTCTAAGCCTATGACTACCTCTCCTAATATGAATCCACTTGGACTCAATCCAACAGATGGGTGAGTACACTGTGTATATATTTTAGCTAGTTATTAAATCTGGAGCAAATATGACTCAGAGAAATTAGTATCGTCATTTTTAAGTCACGTTTCACATAATAAAAGAATATTACGGGCTTGCTGTTTAGAATTTTATAATACTGTCAACAATATATGTCTATCACACACTAAACACTAAGCAGTTCACCCTCCTATAAGAAGTTATCACTTCAAAAAGTGATTTTCCTGTAATTCAATCTTTACATGTTTGTGAGTAGTTGATTCGGATTGATTTTTTCTTTTAGTTTGTGTCTGAATAAATCTTATGTGTATGATCTTCACGTCTTTGCGAAGAGTTTATTTTGAAGTTGATTATTTCTTTCTTAGGAAGTTTTCCACATTTTTGTATAGAGATGGAGAAGTAATACGTAAAGACTAGACCCACTAGCTCGGATTTCGTTCTCTTCAATGTATGAATGTTGAATATTATTTTATTTGTGAAAGATTTATAAAGCAGGCTTTAGTTTTGGTGTGGAAATTTGTATAGAGATGGAGAAGTAATACGTAAAGACTAGACCCACTAGCTCGGATTTCGTTCTCTTCAATGTATGAATGTTGAATATTATTTTATTTTTGAAAGTTCGATAGACAGTATTGTAGTTTTGGTGTGGAAAAAATGTTTTCATTAGAGTTATGTCTTGTTATTTTGAATATTTTTTCAGACCGTGGTCTAGTGGAAGAACTGGAGATACTGGCTGGCCAGATTCTGGCACCGATACTTCAAATGATGTGAAAGATGCACAGTGGTCAACTGCCTCTCAACCTTCCCTGACTGATCTCGTACCTGAATTCGAACCTGGAAAGCCCTGGAAGGTAATTTATGATTATGAAGATATTGGTTTCAGGACAAAAATTTCAAATATGGTTTGTTAATTGAGGAACTGATAGAACCTTGACTTTCCTCTGGATCTCAAAGTCTTCATGAGGGTCATTACGCCATAGTGTGAAACCTTTTTCAAAGGTTTCTTCTTATTCTTATGCAATTTGGTCCTTTAAGTGTGCAACAAATGGAAATTTTTCATTCATTATGATCAAAATTTGAATCCTGCAACAAGTAGTTTGCATCTTCCATATTCATATTAGACGCACTTAGATTAAACCTCAAACAGAGCAACTGATCCTTTTGAATTGTTTACATTGAACGTTCTGCACTACACTTGATCTTTTGAAAACCTACAGTTACCTGAAAATATGGAAACCTAAATAACTTTCAATTTATGTAAATTTAATAAAATCGGTATACAAAAAACAAAAAAATACCATATGATGTTCCATTTAAATGAAATTTTACCTATTTCATACACTACATTGTGTAGCAAGCAATCCTGTGAGTGACATCTGATTCAATTCCATAATGAATGTTTGGAATACAAACTGAATAGGAAAAAATGTTTGGTTTAATTCAATGATCATATAATAGTAGTTATTTCAAAAGTGTTTTATCTTTTGTGTAAATCATGTAACAGTTATTGGCTCAGAAAACAAGGCTCTGAAGTTGAATATAACATTTGTATTTTTTTAAATGAAAGTACTTTATACTTGAAAGAAGTCAATATTTTTTCACCTATTCTGTCATTCACTCACTGTCTTTCTTTAACCTTATCATTTTGGAAACCGTTTGATTTTTTATAGGGAAATCAAATAAAATCAATTGAAGATGATCCCAGTATCACCCCTGGTTCGGTGGTGCGTTCACCATTGTCAATTGCAACGATAAAAGATAACGAGTTGTTCAGCATGAATCCTGTTAAAAGCCCTCCAGTCACTGATAGTATTCAATCTTTGAGTCTCAGCTCGTCAACATGGAGCTTCAATCCATCTGCCTCATCCTCTTCGAATGCTTTCGCCAGGTGAGTGTTTGTTCAACCTTGTCGATTTACTTTTAGTGTTGAAAACGGCAAATCCTTTTACAATGTTCACATTTGATTTTCTTAACATAAATTATCTTTATATAGATATTCAATAAGAACTGCTATTCAGCATTCACATGACATGCTCATCCTCTATATCCTAAATAGGACAGCTTTCGTTTTTGCTATGAGCGTCACACATTTTCTTGTTAACAGTGTGGTGATCAGAATCTTTATTTCTGACAATCCGTGGAAGGTTATTATTTCCCGAGATTATCTTATTAAGCTTCATTCGAGTTGACACCCTATTGAGTCGGCAGGGCATAGTACATTAGAATGGAATAGAAATGTATTCATCTTTGATGTACACAAGTTACTCAGTGGAAATATATTTAATTTTTTTTAAATAATTATACTTGTTTTTGGGATCTCTGCTGAAGTTCTATTATAAAACAACTTCCTCGGGATTTCTCTCAAACACATGAACTTTCTTCTGCAGATCCAGGGTTCTTGTATGAGAACAATATAGAACCTATATAACCTAACCTAACCAGTTGTCGCCCCCTACGAATGACAACCCTCAAAAGTGTAAACTGGTGCGAGCTAAGGATTAACGAGGTCTTACCTTTCAAAATGTCATTTTTAGCATGGGGCAAAGGGTTGTCCACATATAAGAAGCTCCCTGCCTAGATGCAGGACTAAATACTCTGAGAGGTTGCCCGATATCCCAGAGGTCCAATTAGTGATACCTGATAAGGCTCAGGTACTATTCATCTTTTGGCGTGGGTTAAGCCGCCTCCCTTTTAGTTGCTTATTACAACAGGCAAGTTTTCTGCGGATTTCTCTGACCCCTGGTGATCTATTTTAAGAAAAGTCTATATGATTTCCAAAGTCTACTGTAATCCACTTTCTTTTCACATGTCATAGATCAGTTGAAAAATTCTTGTTTCATTAACAACTTTTATTCAACTACCAATTGTTTTTATTTTGATAACTCAGATCTCTTATTTGTTAATTGGGGATCTCATTCCACTCGTATTACGATAGTCTTATTCTTGAAATGTCTTTTTTTTGTATTGAAAAATTATTTATTCACTCGGGGGTTATGCATTGCAATTCATTTTCAGTTCCCAGAGTAAACTTCCTGTATCCAAGGGAGGTTTAGTGGATTTGAATCCTACCACAGCCGTTACCTCTGAACTCTGGGCTGCGCCAAAATCGTCTAGAGGTCCTCCTCCTGGTCTCTCAACTAAAGGTGGAAGCCTTGTGAATGGCTGGTCAGGCAATACTGTACCATGGGGTGGAAGTCAAAGAAGTTCAGGAAATTGGGGAGGATCATCCCAATGGCTACTACTGAGAAATTTAACGGCACAGGTTAGTTGTCCAATTGAAATATTCATACATAACAAATATCAAACCACTTGATATTTTATTATTCGCAAATTGTAAGTCTTGAGAATCTAATAGGTAATGTCTATACTCGTGCAAGAATATTTCAACAAAAAATTATTGAAAAACTGCCTACGATTTTTTACGACCTAAGACTGGCTGCATGAATACTCCTTTAGTCTATTTTATGCTCTTATTTATAAATTTCGAGGTATTATTCGTAATAAACTAGACTTATAAATTTGTTGCTTAACTTCTACTATATCTATTATTAATGGTAAATCTTTTTTGTCGTCGGCATCGACAACTAGTTTTAATACCCAACAAAATGAAATGAATCTTTGTATCATATTAATTTTATCATATTTTCTACTATACCGTATTTGACATAAAAGGCAAGTAAGTCCTTAAGCTCATTCCAAATTATAATTGTTTCTCTTGATTCACATTTTCTGTCCACTAACTTCAAAGGTACATATCTCTCCACTATAAGTTGTTGTTGGTCTAACGACTCTCTGGTAAAGCCTATTTTTTTATTCACCTAAGTCTTTTGCCATCAGTTACTTTCGTAATTGTCCATTTTGTATTCTATTGAACTGTCTTCCTTTAGATTCTTTGTAAATATTTCTCATAGATATATAAATTCTTCTACTTTTTCATACTACTTGTTGTTTCTAGTAATATATTCAGGGACATATGTTTTTTTTCTTTATTGATTTTCAAGTCTTTCTTTCTTGTTGTTTTCTATTTTCAATTTCCTCTATCCACCAAGTTGTTTTCTTTACACCCACATATCTTTTTACCTGTATGTAACATTGTGTTCTTGAAATATTTCCGTAATTCATCTGTATAACTGGTTTTTATTATATACCGTCTTCGTTATCTACAATAAAATATTATTCTACACCATTTCACGTGCACTATTTGTCGAACAGTGAGAAAACTTTTCAACCGTTGGAAATGTTAGAAAGAGTATTAGCAAAATAAACAGATTTTATCTGTTCAAATCGTAGATTGAATTGTGAAATAGTCAATTCAGTTATATCGGACCATGAAGCAGTCTTAGATAGATAGATAGAAAGTTATTTGATCATCTATCTTTACCTATTACCATGAGAGGTTATACTTTGAAGCCAGTCTGTAGGTGATCTACTTGATTGATTTTAGCATGGATGAACAAGAAAAATTTGCAAGACTAACCTCTGTGAGGTATCTCACATGAATTTCTGTTGGAATTCAATGTTCGCCGAGGTAGCCGGGAAAGTAGTTGTTTTCCGGTATGTATTAACCAGAACCTACAGTGTAGGTACGTTGGGAGAGATGAATGTTTTGAGATTTCATTTTTTTATACTTGTGTATCTTTTTTTGATACAGTCTACAGACTTGAATTAATCTAATCTTTTCAACTTATTATTTATTAGATTATTTTTTACGTCAAGGCAGCTCTGTTAATAGAATTAATATTCTATATTAGTAAGGTATTGGTGATTCTGGTAAGACTTTTTGTTGTTTTTCATTTCACAATACGCATAATTTTCAAGTATAAAGAATTATTTATTAGAATTATTCGTTCCTTTCAGATTGATGGTTCTACATTACGCACACTATGCTTGCAACATGGACCACTGTTAAGTTTTCATCTCTATTTGCATCAAGGTTTTGCTCTTGCCAAATACTCATCTCGTGAGGAAGCTATCAAGGTAAATTGACAATCATTTTCATCAATCTTATTTTTTATATTCGATTGTCAGTTATTCTTAGCCTATAACCATTTCATATTTTTTCAGGCGCAGACTACTTTGAACAACTGTGTTTTGGGCAACACCACAATATTAGCTGAAAACCCAACAGATTGGGATGCCAATACTTTGTTGCAGCAAGTTGCTAGTCAACAAAGTGGAACTTCTGGTGCTTGGAGGAGTTCCAGCAAACCAACAGCTGGTGCCGACACATGGAGTACTGGTTGGCCGAATAATCCTTCTACGGCTAGTTTGTGGGCAGCTCCACCATTAGACAATACTGACCCTGCTAGAGGAACTCCGTCTAGTCTAAATTCATATCTTCCTAATGACTTATTGGGTGGTGAGTCCATGTAAAAAATGAATACAAAATTTGCCATTATAGTTTATCATATGGATATCATCAGGATATGATGAAAGTTTTATTACATCTTTTTTAATGTTTTTATGAATATTAATTAAATGAATGATTGCCTATGAAATTTTGATGATATTTATTGTATTATTTAACACTCTTTTTATTGTTGTTTGTAAATTTATTTCTATATTTTAATTTTTATGGTGATACAATAGTTGTTGTTTTTGGAATAAGTTTTTGTTTATTTTCAGTTATTATATGTAAGGTTTCAACAAATGTACACAATAATTATTTTCATTTATTACATTTCAACTTTTCTTATTGAAATTACTATTTATTGGTGTATGTTTGTGGATCTATTAAAACACAAATCAAATAAGAGACTATGGCATTCTTGATATAGAATTTTTACATTTCAACATATTTGTTATTCCAAAAATGTATGGACTGTGGAGCGTTTATGGTTTCCATTAATATCACGCTCAATTTCATAACGCACTCAATGTGACATTCATACGGTAACTGACTAGTCTCAATCAGCAAGATTTATATATATATACTAACTTCCTGTATCCAAGGGAGGTTTAGTGGATTTGAATCCTACCACAGCCGTTACCTCTGAACTCTGGGCTGCGCCAAAATCGTCTAGAGGTCCTACTCTCCTATAAGATATTTTCACTAACAATTAATGTATATATGTTATTTTAATGATTTAATGTACCTACATAAGTTTTATGTATTTCTCCAGTGTGGTATGTCCTTTTATCACATATATCCATACTGTGCTTCTTCTTATATTGAATAAAATGTTTTTTCTTCTGGATGTATGTGATAAGGACAATAATTTTGTTAAACCCACTTAACCTGTGATCTCTGATTCCTTATATATCATGTATAAATAAATTACACATATAATAATCACTTTTCGTTGGTAAAAATATCAAATGAATTGCGGATTCACAAATTAACTGGAATACCGCCACAATAACACCACACAATCAGTTCTTAGACTGCACGATGTATGAAGTATTCTCAATTAATTCTAGTAATAACTGTGTTAGGAGTAATAGTTTATAATCAATCAACTTTCCAAAATCATTCAAATGAGTTATAATAAAAGGAACTGTAGAGCACAAATCAGAATGTTTTCATTATGGCATATAATTGAAAACCTCTATAATTTCATATAGGATTACTCTTCGTGACAATATAATTAGTTATTGTCAATTCACATTGTAATATCAAAGAAAGTTTTTGCACAATAAACATAAGTTGAATGTTTGCCAAACAAATCATTTTCAGTGAAATTTGTTCAATGTATTATCAATAAGTGCTCTACAAATTCTCTAAAAAAATAAGAAAATATCCAAATACATACCATACTGTGTCACCTATAAAGTCTGAAGTATGACCTCACAGAAAAATGATATTCTCTAATCTAATTCTGTTAGAATTGTACAGTTGTATTTAAATTTTGGAATTTTGACTTTTTTTCTGAAATTACCAATAAACAATTTGAAAAATTGTGAGGACTTTATGGATGTCTCTGTATATAAACACATTTTACTTTTTTGAATGGTTATTAATATATAATCTGTGATTAATGTTCTAAGGACTTACAGAAAATAGAACCCTGGTAGGATGTACAATCACACTATTTATTTTATCATGGTGTTCATAGGGTGTCGATTTTCCTGCTAACTTTAAGCGTGGAAAAGATCGGTTTGTTTCAATGTGTCTGTGAGCATTGTTTTTACCTAATTACAAATGGAAAATCTTAGCTTAAGTAAAACTATTTCACTGTAATGGTATTATTACAAGTACAAGCATCTCGATATTTATATAAATGGTACTTTATTTAGTGAATTATTCCGTGAAAGAACATCTAAAGTAGTTTCTGTCTGATGGTACCATTGCTGTGTTAGACTATTCAATTCACCAATTGATCAAGAGGGAGGATTGATTCGGCAGCTTTTAAGGGATTTAATTTGCTTTCCTTATCAGATTATTCTAGTCTTCATTTATTTTTCCATTTGTTTTTTTACTTTTTTATAACTCTTATAGTGTTGAGAGAAGACTGAAGTTGAAAGATCTTAAAATTTTATCTATTATTAAATGACAATGCGTTCAAAAATGTTCAACAGGCATATTGATTTTTTTTCATCAAAGATGCCTCCATATAATTCAGTTATTTCACAGTTCCATATTCTCAGAATTATTTGACGTTTACGATGAGCTTTATTTGTCTGTATCGGAAAATGGCATCTTTGAGGAAATGTCATGGGTTCTACATATTGATCAAGATTTAAGTACACAACTGTGCTGTGACTCTTAAGTGGCTTTTTAGTTTTTAAATGAAAAATATGCTAAGGAGCTCTCGTTGTTAAGGATTTTGAAATGTCATTTGTTGTATATGAAGATGAATGTAAGCATCAATGAAAGTTACAATAATTTTCTTGCTATCGGATTTTGCAGTACAAGTTGAAAAATTTCAAAAATTGAATAACGGTGCAAAAAGCTAGACTGCTTCAGGAATCTAGGTTGATGCTGTAATATTTAATAAATATTAACGTAATTTTAAATGCTTCAAAATTTACAAATTGAGTATTTCAATACCAATTTGAATTTTCTAGTAATAGTATGTGGTTAGTCATTAGATGTCACTATAAAAATGGTTTTTTAGGTCGTTTGGTATTAGGGGTATATTGTTTTATGTTGTGTGTTATAATATTGACAACCACTGAATGCGGAAACTTTCGCCAAATGGCAGTATGAACCTCACATATTACTTTTCTTTTTGCAAGGCAGAATTCATGAATATCAAGTATAATTCGCTTGAAGGATCTCTTTGCCATATTTACAACAAAATGAAGATATTTATATAAGTCACTCTTCCGTAAAAGCGAAAACAAGTTACTTGTGGTTTGGATATTTTTGAAAACTTGTATATTTGACAAAACAAAAATTGTAGTAACGCATTTCTTTGTATAACACCATGTTCGGTTCATTATTGAAACAAAACTGGTAATGAAGCCAATAACTAATTGCAACTGCCAGAAGTAGTATTCCTTGGGCTCAGCAACCACTTCCAATCGGTGAATACTAGTAATGATTTGCTGGTTGGTCACTGGCAAGGAGTGAGACTGCCATTGTGATTTACGTACTAATTCAAATATTACAAATATAAGTATGGAGTGTGCTTTAAAAGTAGAGTTGTGAAAGTATCAAAATTACTCTGTCGAGTAAACTTAAACTTTACTAAACACTTGAAAAATATTCTGTCTGATATTGTGTACCTTCTGAAATTTATTCTAAGTCTTTATTTCGATAAATATAAAATAAGAATTTAATGTAAGTTGCTCAGAATTCTGATAATTTATTTAATTTAAAGTATATATATACATAGATTATACTACCAACAAATATTATTTGCCCATGATCTGTATTTGAAAATCTACTAATATTAATTTTGAAAATGAATAAAATTTATTATGTGTAATGAAATCTGTTCTTTAAACGTGACTGTGAATTGTCACAGTTGAATTTGAAAGTATACAGTTTATATTTGATATAACAAACGGATGGAAACTAATTCGGGTCAAAATTTTGACTTCCAGTTTCCATTTCTTGTACTGAGTTTCAAAAATTACTAATTATATATACATTATTCAATTTTGACGCATATTTGTTTTGTATTCAACCGATATTTTACATTAGGAAGATTTTTGACACCTAGACGCCAATTTTCAATATAACTGAGAACTTATTGAAATAATAGTAATTGATTTAGGTTTACAGTATTTGTGATCTAAGTGCCACTTGTGTTTTCAAGTATATTTAATCATTCGCCACTGAACTATATATTATATGGTATATATTTATTAATAATATATTAATTGAGAATAATTATAAAGTATATGGTACATAGTTGGCATTGTCTGCCTTAGAATAGTATAACATTGGTGTTCGGTAGATTTAAGATCATTTATTGAGCTTATTCTTCAATTTAAGTCTCATTGTTAGATTTATCATGTGTCTTTTTTATTAAGAAACACAATATGGTGCCAGACATTGAAATACAAATCAACTGGATTTTCATATTTTCCTAACATTTTAAAAATGTCTAATGCAAATTTCTTAAATAGACGATATCAAGAATGATCCTCCATAATCATGAGACTAAGACTTCAAATGTTTATTTGTATTAGATTTTCGTCTAGTGATATCACCTCCGCCACAATTTTGTCTGATTTTTTTAAGGGATTATAATTGAAGTTTCATAAAGGACAGAACCTGGCCACTCATCAAACCCCACTCGATAACTGAACTTCCTTAAATAGAGGAATCTGTCCCAGAAATCCAAATTGCATGAATGTAACTATCAAAACGACAAGTGCTTGATTGAAAAACTGTATGTATTTTGTAAGTCATTCACAACCAATTCATAGAACAGAAATGAGCCTATATTCAATTACAAGTAAACTAGTTCCTTATTAATATTTAATATCTGCTCTCTAGTTATTTTCAATTTGACAAATGAAATTTTTTGAACTGAATCAGTTATACTTTACTTGCATTTAAACTTATTTTTGTCTTCAGTATTGTGGTGTTTTAGAGGTTCCTTATGTCAGGAGTTTGTAAAACAAATCAACTGAAAGTCTAGTCTAATTTTATATAATTTATCAGTCTCATTTCTTTTCTATCAGCATTTCCTCCCTCTTTATATTGGCTCGTATTCTGAACTGTGAACAGGTAACTTAACAATGGAGAAGCTCTGGAGTCATTTCCGAAATATGGACTTTTTTTTAAACTGTCGGGTATCAAGGTTAGGATAGCGTGTTTTTTCTTATAAGTGAATATCCATAGTAATAATTTGGTATTATAAGTTATGTTTAATGCTTGTTAGATTGATAGATACATTGTTTACCATATTTCGTAATACCAAATAATGTGCCTCTTGATAAATTGTTATGCAACAATAATGATTTATATTAAAAAAAGCATTCGATCTGCTTGGTCTCGCAATTCCAGAAGATTTCATAAAGACCTAAGCTAAAAAAAATATGAACAATTCAAATAGTTATGTTATGTGAAGTTTCTTCGTTTATCAGAAGAATAAAAAATTATGACTAGATGCCTTAATGAAACATAATAAATTCTTAAACGATCATAAATATTTTCCACATATTTTTATAAAAACTTCAATAATGCTTTGTAACACGAACCTTGGAATCCCCATAAAAAGTTCAATCTATGTCAGTATAGTTGGTTGATGGTTGTCTTCATTACAATTTAACTTAATATTGTTACTTAATTGGTGGCACCATTTAGTCATTAAGTAACATTAAGTAGTATTATGAAAAGTTGTGATATAATATACACAACGTGCAATGCTTTCTTTTCTTTAAGTATTATTTCACTGTTTTCCTCTATTACAGACAAGACATATTTAGATATAAGAATTTAATTTAACCCTAAGAAAATTTTACTACTTATATTTATGTAAATAATTTTTCAAAAACCACTCTCATTTCAACCACTGAGGTGATTTAAATGTTGTGTACAATGACAATTTGCATAAAATGTGCGTTTGAAAAAAATGGTGGACCTGCCAGCGCAAAAAATTCTGTTTTGTGATAATCACTGATGAAATCTTTCAACTGATCTAAAGATACTTCCATTGAATGAAACCACGTATGAACTTTGTCTTTCAACATAATTTATTGAATACCAAAGACATAAAGTGTCATACTCGCTTTCCATTTAAATCATTTAGGAACTACCACCGAGACTTGATTTGAAAAAAGTCCCTCAAAATTTTCTAAAAAAGGTCTTGTAGAAGTTCATAGCTTTCAAATGAATGTTTCCTTTGCTTTTTACATTATTTCAAAATTTCCCACTACAGTTTTGGTTTGAGATGAGCACGAAAAAAAAAAACACTAGAAAAGTCCAAATAAGTTATAATAATGTGCTGTGATTTAAAAATAATTTGCACTGCTTAAGAATGTGTGGTTTGTCTTGTATGTCTCGATGTATGTATGTATAATAGTAGATAGAACAAATTACATAAGTGCCTATTAATGTGCAATTCATAATCTCCAGGGCCTGACTTTAAGACAGGGTTTTAAATTTTAGGCGAATTGAAAGTTATTCTATCAAACTAGACTTTACCTCACTATGTGTAAACTGGCCAATTAGTAAAGTAGGTGACCCCCTATAGTCTTAGAGGAATGATGACTTTGTGAATTTTTGAAATTGAATTTATCGTTATAAAGTGTGTATTATACTCGGTAGAAAACAAATTAATTTTTCCCAGGTGGGTATGTTTTGATATGTACGGTGGGTTGGTAGGGTTAATGTGTAGAGATATCGATATTTAGATCTCGCATATGAGATTACAGCTAGCTGGGAACTGCCAATTGTAAAAAGATAGTGTATGTCTCATATAATCCAGGATTATGTAGGTTTAAATTCTTAAATTGAAAAAATACAACTCGAATCTAGATAGAAAGATTAATTATAAACATTCTTTAAAATGTTTTCGGCTAAAATCAACTTGTCGTTACCATCTTCTAAGAAAATCATCATTAAAATTAACTAAAACTGAAAATGATATGATAAACATACATGGTCCATAAGAATGGTGCTGTAATTTATTTTATATGCATATGCCCATGAAATAAGAAATGAGGTTCCAAGCCAATTTGGGTTTTAATTTCCAAAATGTGCCAAAATTTTTGCTTAAAAAACTTTTGCTCATATTGATTTACGGACACAGATTCGTAAATCATATACGCTTAAATGCTGTGTATATTAATATATAATGCAATATATTTATAATGGTGTGTATATTGGCTGAATTTGTACAATTGTTATGATTTCATATAGTATATCTAAATAGGTATATCATATTTCTAAAGACTAAATAGGTTAGAAAATATGTTGTAAGATTAGCTAGTATTTATCTTAAAAAAAAAAACTGGATCCAAAGTTCGTGTTACATGGCAGATCAATTTTTCTTCAATATCATTTAAACATTTCTTAATTTGGTCTAAAGTGTTTGAGAATTGAATAATTTGATAATCATTTGAAATAAATTATTACTGAATATTATTTACATTTGTATCAACCTCTTCATTGCTTATATTAATGAACTTACATCACATTTTACATTTTATTGATGATATTTATTCGAAATACAATTTCATTTATGAAATACTGTTTGACAATGGCCTATATAAGTTCCCTCCTGTCTTGTTCTAGTCCAACTGTGTCTGATGTTATTATCTTTGTTGGCGGGTTTTATTATTTATTGTATATGGATTTGTTGAAAATAGTTATAGAAACATTCGATAATTCTAGTGTTACTTGTCTGATTTTCACGAAAATAAATGAAATGGATAGAAAATATTGTTCCAGATTTGCCTTAATTATTGTTTTTAACAACTTACGTAATTTTTCCAAGCTAGTTTATCAGTATTGATAAGAACTGCAGAAAAGTTCCAGAGGAACTTATTCATTTCAACTATACTCGAAGAACATAATGTTTCAATTTGCTCCCTATTTTTTTCATAAATCTCTTCAAATATACAGAGTGTATTTATTTTCAAGATGTTTCGGAAAGTTACCTTAAGGAAGCTTGACTGGATTACTGAAGCTGCTTCAATTCTAAAATTTGTAATATTTTTCACTAAAACAAATAATTTATTTTGGGTTTTTCTTTTCCCATGCTTTCTGAATTTGTAACTTGCAATCCTATAATGGAATTTTAAAAGAGGTCAAATGAAATATATCATTCACTTTTTGCTTCCAGTTTCAGTCTAGTATTTCTTAACTGAAAATTTTAACTTTCGACTCATTTTTCATCTCGAAATGATGTAAATCATTCACTCTGTATAATTGATAAATGTAGATCATTATATAATTTCCATTTCACTTTATTTTCGTAAATAGATTGAAGTTACTTTTGAATCGTCAAAATGGAAGTTGAAGAATTATTGACAATTTTTCTTAAGTTTTCTAAATGTCTGAATGCTTGTAATCTGAATCATTCAATTCTTATTTTTCATATCAGCTGGGTCTTATCTGAATTTCTTTGTGTGAATCCCAGGATTCCACTGTAACTATCAATTTTGAGAAAGGAAACTCAGGGACCAGGCCGCTACATTACGGATATATCAGATTTGAGAGAATTCAGTGAATCCTATCTTGACATGTACTACATTTTTTCAAATAATGTGTAATAATATATTTCATCGATATTTAAAATATAAGACTTCAGTAAGTGTAAGAAGAAATTAAATAATGGTGTAATTTTGGAAAAGGGAATTTATGATCCATCTGCACTAGCGATAAATGAATATTGTAAGTTATTTCGTTTTAGCTTGATCAACGGTTTATTTAAACTCTGAAAAATTTTATAGCAATATTAGGGGCGATTTGTGGCTCAACTGTCGAATCATGAATTCTTATAAAGAAATTGTAGGTGAAAATTGGCAAAATACTACAAAATGTTACTCTGAAATTATGAATATCAAATTTAAATCTACTGAAAAGTCTAATGAAAAATAAAGTCCAGCTCATTCATACATTATAAACATTGATGCTGTGTTTTTTGTGTTAGATTATGTCATGTTCACATAAGTCTGATTTTCCTTTGTCTGAAAAAAATTTGTGTACAATTTCAGATAGATATATCACAGTATATTTCTTAGAAATGTGGATACAATAACTGAATATCTATAGTCTCGTGCTGTGCGGATGATCACCTAGAATAAGTTAGTTTATGTAAGTGCTTTTTAAATAACTGAAGTTGTTATGCTCTGTACTTGTAACCCAAATGACCAGTATGCATTCAGTAATAAAGGTTGTCTTAAATGTATTGGGCTGTTATTAATAATTTTTGTTTTATAGATAGGTTTCCTTAGTAGATTCATTCCAAATAACATCTTTTGACAAAAAAAACTCCAACGACACCTAACAATCTATATACTGGACTGTTAAATTCGGATCTCGCGAACTTTGAGATGTAAAATGATTGCTTGAATGAAAGCAAGTTGCCTAGTGTGGTGACCATTCTGGCTTCTTCTGTATATATGTTCCTATACCTGTCAATATGTTTTATTATAAAAAACGAGATACCATAAGGTCGTTGGTTATCGGATTGTTAAAATTGATTTTTCAAAAAACTAACATTTTTATTAAAAGTTCTTTGAGTTGTTCAAAGCAAGAATTAATTTCATAATTGGTGACCCCGATTTTTTCAAAATAGTTAAGACGTTCCTGCAGAATTTCAATGAAAAGCAGCTGACCGAAATTTTACGGCACTTAATTCAAGAAACAGAAGGAACGTTAGCTGACCTGAAACTAGAGCCCACATCCATCAAGGTTTCCCAGATATAATATTCCTTGATTAACGAAAGCAAAATCAATATTTCCGCATACCATCTGGAATGAATATAAACAACTACATAAAATTCAGGAAGCCATAATTAAAAAAGGGTATTATAAACTTAATTTCTATAATGAAACTTTGATGTCTGTGAAATATATACAGTGCATATGTGCGGACGTACTTAGTCTTCACTTCTCCCAACTTTTGAACGAGACAAAGTACCAAGGTAAGAAGCAATCATATCAGTATTTTTAAATTAACTTCTGGTGAAACTTCTGAGTCTTGTGAGCACTTACTATCTTAACGTTACGATAGTCATTCTTAAATATTTGCATTTCATAAAGGAAATTATATAGGATTTTCACATTAAAGAAAGATTGACGTCACAAGATGACAAGTTACGGCGATAACCATGTGCACTATTTCGAACTCTCAATTTTTTTTTGTACTGTTTATTTGTTTTATTGCTATTAACCTTACTATTAACTTGTTAGTTGAAATACAAATTTGTTGAGACTGTTTCGACAATGCTTTGAACATATTGAATATACGCAAGTCTTATCAAAAGAAATGATTAGTTCTGAAAAGAAAGACTGACAGTTTTCAAGTTTTTTTTCGATTCGGCAACGTCTGAAATGATATTTTACTAATTTCATCGCTATGAAACGCATTTCATTGGGAATTTTAACGTTATTATATTGGATATACAAAATTACCAAAAAATGACGTCATTCTCTTAACGTGAATATGCTTATAGTGCTATAGTAGAAGAAAGACTCCATGGATCATATTTTAGAGTTTTGTGATAACAAATAATATCACAAATGTCAACTTGTCATTCAGATAGAATCGAGCGTTTCTTAAATATGTATGGATCCGTTGACTCTGTGATCACGTTGTATCAAATCTGAAACTGCTCGCTCGGCTTTAGATTTTTAAAACCGAACATACTCCATAAACGAACCTTGGTCACAGAATACCATACAGAAGAGATACTCATCTGGAGGCACTTTGATGTTGAGGGGTCAAATATCTGTGACCTACATTCTGTGGTCGAGGTGTTTTTTTTTTTAGCAGTAAATGGTGAATTATTCGAAACTCATGAGAAATGTGATTTGATTTCAGTCGAGGCCAACATTTCAATAATTTAAACTAAGCTAGCTTAATTACATCATGTTCAAGTTCACTAACTACTCAACGAAACTTGTATGTTGACAGTATTCTCGATATTTTAAAAAAATTAATGGTAGCTGTTCCGTGCTGAGTGTCCCTTCTGTTAGGTATTCTGTGCCCTGGTACAGAGGCACAGAATGTGGCACAGATCACAGATGAGTAAAATATACAGGTTCAGACTTATTATTTCTATGGTACAGAAGAAGAAAATGCAAATTTGTTTTATTTGCAATACAGTCACAGTCTTCATTTCATAAATTTTCTAATTATGGAAGATGACTACTATTTGGAGTATTAAATATATGATGATTTTGCCTATTATAACTGCATAATTCAAAACTATATATATGCAATTTTTGGTAAGAGGATAAATATACCATGAATATACCAAAAAGCTTTCAAAATTGAAATTCAACTTTCTGCAAAAATGAAATCCTGTTTTTAAATTGGATTTAAATTTTCTCCTAAAGGAATGACTAACAATTAAAACAACAATAAACAAATAGCAGTAGAATTTCAAATATCCTCATTTTGAATTAAAATAGACTTTCTTTTTTGTGCTATTTTTGGAATACTTCAAGGGGGGAAATAGTACAGAATTATGTATGATTGACTTGAGTTAGTTGTGTTTTAGAGCATTTTAATTATCTGAACATTATGGATGGTACTGATGTTAGAAATGGTAGATCTAGATCTACGACCCCATTTACTCTAGCAGACCCTAATGGTGATTTCATTGCAAAAGAAAGCTATATGACAAGTAGTAGTGAGAGAACTACAAGAAGGATGACGGCCTTAAGGTATGAATAGTTTTATAAATTTTGCTAGGAATCCTTTCATTTCAGAGTAATTTATTTCATTCAAAGGCCGTGTAATAGAAACAGACATTTCAATTGATATAGATATTGTCTATATTGTTCTAGCAACACTTTATTAATTTTCTGTAGACAGTTTACAAGACTTGTTTTGCTATACAATAGCTTCAGTGCTTCAATGGCAAAAGAAGTGATAATATAAGCTAGGAACATTAATAGTATAAAGTTTATCTTATCTCATTTTGCCAGTGATTAGGGGTGCTTTTAGTTGACTGAATTTTTTATCGAACCTTCTGGTGATTTTCGTTTTCCAAGTCGATAAAAAACTCTGATTTCCATAAGAAATTACTTTTGTTCAGTATTTGATTGAATTTTTTTTCAGCAGAACATCGGTGTAATGTTGATTTCAGTATATCACTTTTCATGTGATCGTTTTGATTATCTTTGTAAAAAGTTGTGAAAATGGACGTTTTCTGATGAAATTTTAAGTTTTTTGATTGATTTGGCCGTTACTTGATGAAGATCCATAGTAATTTCAAAAACTATACCTCACGATTTGATCTCCACAAACTTTATTTGAAAAATATATCACAACATGTTTCACTAGCACAGTAGCTTTTTCAAGTAAGGTGTAGTTTTTGAAATTTTAACTTCTTGATGTTTTGTTTTTTATTAGGTCGAAAAAAATCTTTTCATCTGGGGAAGTCTCATCATTTATGGAAAAACCAGTTAGAAAATCTACTCGCTCAGAAAGGAGTACAAGAAAGTGGTTTAAAACATCTGATTACTCTTCTGAAGATGGAGAAAATGAGATTACTTCAACTCAGAATGAAAAAAATCAGTTGGTTGAAGATGCGAGAGTAGCAGCAAATGGCAGTCACGAAGTATCAGCATTGAATCTATATAAGAAGTCTGGAAGATATTGGGAGTAAGTTGAATAATTTTCAATAGTATGTTTTGGCTTTTGGTTTAAGCTGTTGAAGAGTAGGATTAAAAAAAATATATTTTCTACTTCTCTAGTACGCTTTGTCATAAATGTTTGAAGAATGAACCAAAAAATTATATGCTACATGGAAACAAACATACCTGCAGTTCAAAATCAAGCATAGCCCAAACAACAAGAATTGCTGGAAAAAGTTCAAAAATATTAATATCCATTGAAGTAGTATAAAACAAATGATATCTGGCCATTAACACCAGCCACCCTATATATTGGAAGTCACTAAATAAAAAATACCAAGTTTTTGTTAACGATTACTTTTTATCAATGGTTTACCTGGTACAGAGGCACAGAATGTGGCACAGATCACAAATGTTTTATCTATATTTTTATATTCATGACATTTATGTATTCTTTTATATTTATTCATCAACTTTGTCAACAAGATTTTTTCTTTGGACAATAAAGTATGGTATATAAAAAAAAAAAACGGCGGTCGATTCGATTGAGTAAACAAAGCACCCACCTCGAACCGACCGGCTACCGTCCGATCAATACCTGATATGAACAGCCTATCCGATATTTCACGCCAAACATTTTCGAACACAGTAACGTCAATATCTCTACAAATATTATCATTCTCTGCTGTATATTCAATATTGAAGCAGATTCAGTTTCGTACACCTTTTGCTTCAAATAGCCCCATAAAAAAGTCCAAAGGTGTCAAATCTGGCGAGCGGGCTGGCCATTCTGTAGGACCTTGACGGTCAATCCAATGACCGGGAAAAGTAGTATCCAAATAGTTTCTTACTTGTCTGGAGTAATGTGGTGGTGCTCTATCTTATTGGAATACAATCAATAAATACAATATGGTTTCCAATATTCCTGCCCAAACGTTATTTTTTTCTGGATATTGAGTATGCGTTTCCTGGAAAACGTGAGAATTGATGTCACTTCAATAATGGCAATTTTGATGTGAACATTGCCGTTTAAAAACAATATACATTCGTCACCCTTCGAAGCTTGATACCAAACAGTTGTTGGACTATAGTAGGGATGAACTACGATGTCTAACAGGTCTTCTCACAGGTCACTGTCGTTGGAATCGTCAAATGCAGAGAATCGAACTGTCGGAAGACAGTGTGTGTCGCCTCTGTTTGGAAAATGATGAAACAGCAGAGCACATACTTTGTGCCTGCCTCGCTGGGATCTGAATCAGGTTTTTAGAGTTCGACAGAGTTGTACTCTCAACATCTGACCAGAAAGACCACTCAGCATACAAACTAATCGGCTTCGTTAAGAAACTGGGTTCATTTGGTTGAGTGTGAATAGGTGTGAGCCACAATAAACCCTTGCGGGTTGCTGTGGAGCGTCGAATAGACCCACTCACTTTTGACTTAACCTAATCCATTTCTCTCAACAAACAAAAATTGTCAACTCGGACAAACCGACACATCAGCTGTAGCAGAACATGTTCTCAACAAAGAAGGCACTCACATTATCTCATTCAAACACAGTAATATTCGATAAAACAAAATTACTATCCAAGAGTATACAGAGAGGCAATAGAAATTAAAAAATAGGGTTAATTTCAATAGAAAAGAAGAGGTAATGAACATTAATAAAATCTGGCTACCTGTCCTTAATTGTACACATACAAGGTCAGACCATTGCCAAAAAACCCTGAAAATAGATTTCACACACGATAGTTATTGACTCATTCAAAAAACACTTGTATAGCAAAACACATGTTGCTTTTTTGTAAAATCATTTAGTAAAAATCTCACAATAAAGTGTTTTTTGAATACGTTAGTTATGGATTTTTATCAAGTATCGGCCAATTCCATCATATAAATCGAGTTATTGTCAAATTATAAGCTTTGATAAAATGATATTGGCCTGGTAGCCCTGGTTTTGAACATTCTCAGCCCAATGATTTTTCTGTCATAGCCTTATATCGTTAGTAGTAAATTATTAAACAGACAAGTTCAACAATTAGAAACAAAATCAGTAGTCTTATTGATTGTGACATTTTTTTTTCAGCGTTTATCCAAAAACAGACTGGACGTATTCACTACACTCTAAGGATCGGATAGAACTAGCACCAGGCATTGTTGCAATGCCCAATATGTCCCGCAAAACAATACACTCAGTCCAGTCTGCCGAGGGTTCACATGAATTTGCTCATAAAGAAACGAATACAGAGGTATTGTCCCGTTATAATGAGTCAAAATCGTTCGGGGAATGTATTCCCAGACAATTATTCAATAGTAATTATAATAATGAGAACAAATCCTACAAGAGGACCAGCTTTATACACCATCAGTGGACTCTACTGAAAAGGATATGTGTCTCAACTTTCACATCCATCATTACAACTTTGTACTTCATATTCAGAATCCAAACCAATTGTTTTGCAACGTTGCATACATTTACAAGCAGAATTATGCTCATGGATACGTGGCTATTGTGGAAAAATGGAACAGGAAATAAAACTTCTAGACTGGTTACTCTTTGTCTGGTTCCCTTATTGTTATTGGGAGGTAAGTCTATTCACAATATTTATATATTCTTTTGGTTGTTCAGTTTTTTTAGAGGGGTCATACCGACTGTCAAAAAAGATCCCTAACTACTTTATTTATTTCTTTTTTATATAATTCACTCATAAGACTTGCGAGCAATACTCAATTAATTAATAGTTAACTTGTTTCTAGGTGTGATTGTCATAAATTCAGAGACATGAATATTTCTAAACCTGTTTATCAAATATAAATATTGAATATTAAAACAGCACCTATGAATTCTTTCAAAGAAGAATATGTCATACATTGTCATACATTTCTTACAGTCAGTCTCACAGACTGAACTACACCCAATTAAATATCTACTTAAACTAAGCAACTACGATCTACTAGTCAACAACCAGTTTTATGACTTACCAGACTTACACCTGACCATGGTAAGAACGAACAAAGGATTATACAATTCTTTTACACATGCTATAAAAGTCGTCAATGAATTACCTGTCCATATACGTGAGTTGCCAAGCTATAGTTTATTCATCAATAGTTTAAAAGAGCATCTGAGCCTCGAGGCATATGTCTGATACGTTACTACTATGAACTTTGTAGTGGTTTACTAGTTCTTGTGTTTCACTTGTCATGTTGAATGTTTGTGAATACCGAGACCAGCATTTTTGCTGATTAGGGAGAATATCAGCACAACCTACCCGTGTTGTTAGTTATTGATTTTATGATTATACAATCTAACAGTATTGCAAATATTTCAAGTGGATAATATGCTATGCTACCAAGAGTTATGCTTGATATTCTTCACATATAGTAAGGGGGCATACTTGAAGACTGGCTGTAATTCAAATAATATAAAAGAACAATTTGTTCAAGCCAGTCTCAACTCACCTACACAGTAGGTTAATGAACTGATACCTATCTGAAAACACTACTCCCCCCTGGCCAACACCACGGAAGGCTTTGGGTTATATCTGACAGGTGTCAGTGATGGATTCTTCACATAAGCAATTCCTGCATATGCTGTTGGCGAATCCTGCATATGCTGTTGGCAAATCCTGCACCCTTGTCCCTTCCTGTCTCCAGTCTCAACTCACCTACAGTGTAGACCTGAACGAATTTTTCTTTTAGATGATTTGATTTACAGCCAGTGTTCAAGTATGCCCCTTTACTATATTTGAAGATTTTTTCCTTATACAAGGAATTGGGCCATTCGGATATGTGGTTAGTTAGTACCTCATTTACGGGTAGATGGGGCGATGACAAATATGCTCCTGGTCGTTCGCTTCAGCCTTGTTTGAGGAATGATACACTGAAAGGAATTCGATTTTCAATTATGATTTCCCATAATTTCCAATAATTGAAAATCGATTCCGGCAGTTGTATCGCCATATGCAGGAGAATCCTGCACTGACACCTGTCGAATATATTTCAACGCCCTTCATGGTATTAGCCAGGAGACTATTTGTTTTCTGATGGTGTTAGTCTATTAGCCTACAGTGTAGGTGAGTTGAGACTAGCCTGAACGAATTGTTCTTTTAGATAATTAGCTTGATATTGTGATAACTCTAGGGCTAGATGTCGCTTTAACATATTGTACTGTGTTCCTTTCATTAGGTGCTATTATAAAAGTTAACAGTCCAAGTTATATAATTTGAAAGAAGTACATTGTAGGTTGATGACTAAACGCTTGGCAATCACACCAGAACTGATCATTTTCTCTCGACGCTAACCAAGTCACCATCAACAAGTTGATCATCCTTAATGACAGTTAATGACTGGATGATGTTTTATAGTCATCTCCTGATTATGCCAGCTTTATTAGCGAAAATCGAGTTGAGAGACATAGATAAATTGTATTGTTTAAAAAATATACCATTCCTCGTTATCGATGGTCTTTTTTAATTATGTTCATTTGAAATTACTGAATCATCAAGAAAATACATTTACTCTACGTATTACAGCCGAAATATCTTTGGGATTTCTCAGAAAGTGTCTCATTCTCGAATGGAGTACCACTTTATAAATTTGATCAGCGGCGGCTCGTCAGAGGAGGCAAGGGAGGCTTAGCCTCCCCATAAATTTTGAGGCTATTCATTCTAAAAATGCTTGGGTATCATTACTTTACTATTAGTTTTTGATATAAATACATAATATGACCGAAAAACACTATCACTCACTAAGTAGTACGTACCACACTGTATCCTCCATCAACAATACTCAAACGCACCGCCCATGAACGAATAACGAATAAACCATCAACCCGAAATAATAAATGCCATACGTTACAAGGGAGCCGCCTCCGACCGCTTTAAAAATCACAGGCTCCACGAGACCGATCCAACCAGCGACATACGTCCCGATTTGTAATTTCAGTTGCATAAATTATAACGTTAGAGGAGGCTAGCCTCCAGTTGGTCTCAGTTAGTGTACGACTCCGTTTATTTCTTATTTAATTCGGACGGGATGCCGTGACGGACCGGGACTGAAAAATATTTCGGTAAATCTTTTAGTATTTCTTGATAATATTTATTATTTGTGTATAAAACAGGCAGTATTTTATTATAGCAGTGCTTTTTGATAATATTTTTATTGTATTTAAAAAGTGGTTTCTTTCAATTTCAAGGTGTTTTCAGGTTTTCACTTATCGCTAAGTTTTTTTTTTTTTTTCATTTATTATGGATAAGTTGGACGAAATTAAAAAATCTGACGATATAGTCGATTGGTTGCTGACAAATAATTTTAAGTCTTTATCTTATGATAATAAATTTTACATTATTAAAACTCTGGGAAGGCCTCAACCAAATTTGATTTCAATTAAAGCGTCAGATAATCGACAAAATCGAGGATTTAATATTAGTTGGTACGATAAATGCGATTGGTTAACCGGCTCCATTAAACGAGAAAAACTTTTTTGTTGGCCCTGTGTTTTATTTTCCGTACAAACCGAATACCAAACGTGGTCTAAAATAGGATACTCCGATTTAAAAAATGTACCTCGTTCTACAGAAAGACATTTTAAATCTAAGGAGCATATATTTTCGTCTTGTAAATTAAAATTGTTTAGCTAACAATATATAGCAACCGCTTTAGATACAGCTCAAAAAGAGGCCATAATTTCTTTTAATAATCAGGTTAGGAAGATTCGGTCGAATTTAAAAAGAAATCGATATTACTATTTATTTGGGTTCCCAAGAATTAGCTTTTCGCGGACAGGATGAAACCGAAGATTCGATTAATCGCGGCAATTACAATGAACTTTTACTTTTATGGGGCAAATATGATTTACAATTTGGCACTTTTTTAAACGGTAGCGTTTTTTCGGGCACCTCAAAAACCATCCAAAATGTGCTTATAGACAGTGTGGCATATATTATTAAGGAAAATATAAGCAAGGAGATTGAAAGTGTTTCTTTTTTGCATGGGAAATTGCTGAAACTACCGATATTACCTGTACATCACAACTTTCAATCGTTTTTAGATATGTCAAAGATGGTAATGTGGTAGAACGTTTTATGGGTTTTCATGATGTTTCATCTGGGCGCACAGCTGACGATTTGTTTAATTTTTTAATTCGTACGTGTGACACCTATAATTTTAAGCAAAAGTTATTTGCGCAAACGTATGATGGGGCTGCGTCATGGCCGACCATTAAATAGTTCACAAACTAAAAAAAGTCCATAGCTCCTCATGCACTTTTTACGCATTGTCATGCCCATGCCCTAACTTTAGTATTAAGCAAAGCGTGCAACAACATAAAAATTTTCGCGCCTCCGGCTGGCTTTTCTATGTGTATATAGTCTTTATGACTTTAGCCTTCTCTGTTCTCCAATGCACGAGCCGTCACTGATACATAATTATCTGTATTACCATAATTTATATTCATCATTAACATCTGTTTTATATTCATTTCTCAATATCTTTCAGGTTTGCACGTGTTATTGGTTAGTGGCGTCTCCCTTGTCCCTTCATGTCACCCTAACTGCAGAAAAATTGCCTCTGCTTACTTAAACTCGCTTACTAGTAAAATAAAATCGATTTACATGTGATTTATAACACATTTTTTTTAGCTTTTTTATCATGACATATTAACTTTGTTTTAGGTTGAATTCAGAAAGAAGTTTAATATAATCTAGAGAGAAAGTTGAAAATCAATATCTAATTATATTTGTATGGGATATCCGTATTTGGGTTATGAATATTTTTGATTCTCAGATCAAAAAGTTTGGTGAAGGATCATTCGAATTCATTTCTGTGTTCAGCTTCATTTACTTGAATTATATTCAGTAAAAATAAGGTCGTTGCAGGGTCTGACTGAACATTTATACCATTCAGATTATAGAAATAGAGCAAAGACTAATCATGAAATGATTTTTTTTTGAGTGATGAACACAAATAATGAGGAATGAAAGTCAAAATTTAGGCTGAAAAAAAACAAATTATAACAACTTTGGACAGGAAATAAATTTATGGGAGGGTTTATAGATCACAAGGGGCGGTTTGAAAAACATAGTTCATAAATTTTTTGGGAAATAATCTTTGCTGTAAGATGTTTTTATCGCAGAGATTTTTCATCCACCACTATAAATTAATTGAATCACGTACCAATATTCATATATTTTAATAATAAATAATTTATTGAATCCAAACAAAGTAGATTTTCTGTTTTTTGTAGTGATTTTGGGTTCTGATTTTTCTAGTTATATCTGATTAGTGATTAGTGCTTTATATAATATAGTATACCAATTGAATCAATTGGTCTTCACCTTCAAGAAACTGTTCCCGTTCTTTTTTATTCTTTGGGCCAATATAGTTTCGACACCGTTGGGTTGGGTTGCCTCCCAACTTTACCATATTGTACTGTGTTCATTTCATTAGGTGCTATTATAAAAGTTAACAGTCCAAGTTATATAATTTGAAAGAAGTACATTGTAGGTTGATGACTAAACGCATTTAGTATAAAAAACTCTTTAGAGTTCATACAACATACAAAAAACATGGTTCTGCAAGAAGGT